CACTACTTGAAAAATATACTGTACCATTGAAAATTAGTTTAATGACTGGTTCGATTTAGAACATCTTTCCAATGGTTGCTTAATTTGAAACCATCTTCTCGGTTGAAATTGTGTCTGTGTTTGTAGATCTGAATTGCCTCGTGAACAAATCTCTGATAAAAACCCGTGGGTTTGCAAAGAACCTTGGTATCGGAGAAAATGATATCGTGATCACCCACAGCGTTGTAACAGTGATCAGCTACGGCAGAAGAATTCGTTTTGCCGTGTTTCAAATCTGATTTGTGCTCGCGAATTCGGTCAGAGACATGTCGCTTTGTCTCCCCGATATAGCAATCACCGCAGGTACAACTCAATTTGTAAACCCCGGGGTACTGTAAGTCAGGAATGACATCCTTCACGGATGGGATCAGATCACGAATTTTGTGTACTGTATTGAACCGGACCTGGATCTTGTGTTTGTTTAGAATTTTGGAAATCTTTTTAGTAACGCCTGCTATATATGCTAGTGTGATGGTTTTGACCGGAGTATCAAGTGGTTGTTTCTGTATGGAGGGAGAAACAGCTTGGCGGATGGTACGGTCAGAGTATCCATTCCTTTTGAGGGCCAGGTGTACATGTTTTAATTCACTGGTCAGGTGGTGTTGGTCTGAAATGCAATGAGCCCTATGGTGTAAAGTTTTGATGAGATAATTCTTTTGGGCTGGGTGGTGGTGGGGATCAGGTTTCAAGTAGGAATCTGTGTGGGTGGGTTTCCTGTAGATAGAATGCCCCAATGAGCCATCAGGTCTCCTCTCAAACAGAACTTCTAAGAATGGTAGCTTGCCATCTTTCTCCACTTCCATGGTGAAATTGATGGCGGGATGTCTGGAATTGATGTGGTGTAGGAAAAGGTTCAGAGCTGGGAGGCCATGTGGCCAAATGACGAAAGTGTCATCCACATATCTCTTCCACAGGGAAGGACTGAGGATGGAAGTCGGGATGGCGTCTGATTCAAATTTTCCATGAAAATATTGGCTAAACTCCCCCCCCCCCCCCCCGCGCCAACCGGAATGTGCACCCGCACGTACACCACCTCTATGCTAAGTCGGCCAATCAAATGCTAATTTTTATGCTAATTCATTTGTCAAGGCACCTTGTTTCCTCGCACACAGCTTAAAGGTCGCGAACTGAGCGTGGCTGTGTTTCACTCCAGCGCTGTCCTCGAGACAGCCTGATCCCTTCACCTGATGAAGGCCGCTTGTGTTGTGGCCGAAACGTCGTGATTTTTGTTGTTTTATTTTTTTACCTACGTGACTTTACCGAATAGAACCAAAGAGTATGGATCCTTGCAGTCACGAAAGCTTTAAATCTAGAATTTATAACCTCTACGGGGAGGGCTTTCACCTATCTGTTAGAGCTTTTAACAGACAACGGGACAAGAAGTCACAGCTCATCGAGACGCTGACCTTCCTCAAAAGATGCTGCGATCACAAGGCAATACCCATCGCTTTCACACTCACTTCTGCTGCTGTATCTTCTCCGAATTCTAAACAGATTCTGTTTAAGGCCAGCCTATCTTTAATCTCAGAGAGGGTAAGGCTACTTCGAATTGAACTCGATACTTTAGACAGGACTCTCCTACAAGCTCATTTAATGTTAACACAAAAAATGTCACCTTCTGATTGGAATCACGTAGACAACATGACTGCTTCTTCTGCTGATTCACTGTCAGTCAAATGTACAGCTAACCTGATTTCTAAATTCAACCACCTATCAAAGAAGAACCCAGTTCCACATATAACAAAACTAGACGTTAACAAAATCGTCATTAATCAGAGTAGCACCCCAATTTCGGACAATCTGAAAACAGTACTGGCTAGGGGACTGAATTTTGCTGTCACCCCAAAACACATACCAGTAGATGATATCATCTCTCAGGTCAATGTAGCCCTCAAAGGCGTAGGACACATCCAAGCAGATATTGCGAGAGCTGAAATAGCCACTATTCTTAAGAATGCTAAGAAACCCATTAGTAACATCAGCAAAAATGAACGCTCTGAACTCGCGAATTAAAAAAAAAACAAGTGATATAGTCATCCTCTCAGCCGACAAAGGCAACGCTACTGTAATTATGGATCAAGATTCATACAACAACAAAATACAGAATCTGCTCAACGATGGAAGTTACACAAAAATTAAAAATGACCCTACCAATAGCCTAGCGATAAAAACCAACAAGATCATCACAAGTTCGACCTCCCTAATCGACCCAACTAAACGTCCCTCCCTAAAACCTTCTGCTGCAAGACCCCCTAGATTATATGGTCTTCCCAAGATTCATAAAGAAGGCACCCCACTACGACCCATCGTATCCACGATCAACTCCCCTACCTATAGACTAGCCCGTTTTCTGTCAGATACCTTGCTGCCTTTCACTGGCAAGACCGCCTCAGCAGTACTTAACTCAGCCCAATTGGTCTCTTGGTCAAAGACGTTGTACTGTCCCCTGACGATATCCTTGTCAGCTTCGATGTGGTCTCTTTGTTCACCAAGGTCCCAGTGCCTGATACCATTGAAATAATTGAAAATTTGGTCCAACATGGACTAGACCCCGATACACCTGCACTGGTTAGGCACTGCCTCAACAATACCTTCTTTACTTGGAATGGCTCCTTCTACAAACAAAATGAGGATACCCCCATGGGGATCCCCCTTGTCACCAGTGATAGCCAATATTTTCATGGAGAAATTTGAATCAGATGCCATCCAGACTTCCACCCTCAGACCTTCCCTGTGGAAGAGATATGTGGATGACACTTTCGTCATTTGGCCACATGGCCTCCCAGCTCTGAACCTTTTCCTACACCACATCAATTCCAGACATCCCGCCATCAAATTCACCATGGAAGTGGATAAAGATGGCAAGCTACCATTCTTATAAGTTCTGTTTGAGAGGAGACCTGATGGCTCATTGGGGCATTCTGTCTACAGGAAACCCACCCACAGATTCCTACTTGAAACCTGATTCCCACCACCACCCAGCCCAAAAGAATTATCTCATCAAAACTTTATACCATAGGGCTCATTGCATTTCGGACCAACACCACCTGACCAGTGAATTAAAACATGTACACCTGGCCCTCAAAAGGAATGGATACTCTGACCATACCATCCGCCAAGCTGTTTCTCCCTCCATACAGAAACAACCACTTGATACTCCGGTCAAAACCATCACACTAGCATATATAGCAGGCGTTACTAAAAAGATTTCCAAAATTCTAAACAAACACAAGATCCAGGTCCGGTTCAATACAGTACACAAAATTCGTGATCTGATCCCATCCGTGAAGGATGTCATTCCTGACTTACAGTACCCCGGGGTTTACAAATTGAGTTGTACCTGCGGTGATTGCTATATCGGGGAGACAAAGCGACATGTCTCTGACCGAATTCGCGAGCACAAATCAGATTTGAAACACGGCAAAACGAATTCTTCTGCCGTAGCTGATCACTGTTACAACGCTGTGGGTGATCACGATATAATTTTCTCCGATACCAAGGTTCTTTGCAAACCCACGGGTTTCTATCAGAGATTTGTTCACGAGGCAATTCAGATCTACAAACACAGACACAATTTCAACCGAGAAGATGGTTTCAAATTAAGCAACCATTGGAAAGATGTTCTAAATCGAACCAAACATTAAACTAATTTTCAATGGTGGTACCCCAAACTTTCGCAGCTCTTAAAAATTCCCCTTTTCACACCATCAATAGGTAAACTCCCCCCCCCCCCCCCGCGCCAACCGGCATGTGCACCCGTACGTACACCACCTCTATGCTAAGTCGGCCAATCAAATGCTAATTTTTATGCTAATTCCTTTGTCAAGGCACCTTGTTTCCTCGCACACAGCTTAAAGGTCCGCGGTCTGAGCGTGGCTGTGTTTCACTCCAGCGCTGTCCTCGAGACAGCCTGATCCCTTCACCTGATGAAGGCCGCTTGTGTTGTGGCCGAAACGTCGTGATTTTTGTTGTTTTATTTTTTTACCTGCGTGACTTTACCGAATAGAACCAAAGAGTATGCATCCTTGCAGTCACGAAAGCTTTAAATCTATAATCTATCTGGAATGTTCTGGAAAATAGGTAAATGTCAAAATATTACTGTCCTGGTTACAAAAGCAAAGTTTGTGGGAAATAATAGCCATTTACTCTACTTTCAAGGCATAAGCAATTAGGAAATAACACTTACTACCCAGGAACAAAATAGAAAAAATTGTTACAGTGTTATTTGTGCATCTTGCGGTTTGGTGTACAAGCTCCCATACCAGGCTGGAGCGCAGCGACTGTGCCAACCAGTAGATCCGTGAGAGCGAGGCAGTTGGCGGCACTCAGTTTTTTGCAGCGGACGATTCATGATTTTATCTTTTAATAGATCTGTAACCTGTATAAATAATAATCGATGCCTCGGATTTCATGGCTGCTGGCTGGGCTCCTGTCCACCCCAACAGTGCAACTCTGTTATTCGTGGTTGCGAGCCGTTGCCACGGCAACTTGCTGTATAACTGGCGACACGGGATTTTCCGTGCAATGAACATACATTGAATTGAGACGGCAGAAGAAATTCGCAATACATTACTGTACTTTGATAGCGACACCTGAAGAGGGGGTGGGAGTAATGAATGAAAACTGACGAGGTTAATATCAAAGTGGCTAACATTTCAATTTGCGCTGTTGGAATTATTTTGCCAGAATATTATTGTCAGAAGAGTGTGACAATTACAGCTGCCTCATTTTGCGTTGCAGAGCAACGGGTTCGCTGCTACTGTAATAAAAACTGTTTCTTCTTTTAAGGATAGCATGTTGGCTCGGGGAGGACTGAACCGTGACATTTCCTGAGCGATGTGAATGTCGTCACTTAATGACGGACACTGGACGCCCTTAAGTTATTCAATTTCAAGGTTTTAACCCAGAAATACTGTACTGTATAATAATGCGATCAAGTAATGACACATACTGAGCTCTTGTGGGTTTCTTTTCCATCACGTTTTATTTGTTTGCGTACACTGGCTTTAATAACATTCAGTGCCGACGCTCACTGCACAGCATGGTGGGGGGGGGGGGGTCTTATTTTGTTTTTATACCTAACACCTGATTGGCCTCGTGCAGTCAAACTCATGGCACGTACACACATACACACAAACATACACACACACACACACGGTGATGTGTGCGACTTTTTGCATCATCGCACTTCTGGCAACGTGTGGTGGGAAAATCGAATTCCCGGACACAATTTTCATGCAAACCACCAACCTGCAGCTCAATGAACGAATGGGATGATGTTAATGATCCCCCCCCCCTCCAAAATCAAATTTAAATTATTATCGTAATTGCCATCAATGGCCTGACATCCTCCCCCCACCCGACACTTCCTCTGGATGGATCGCATTACATGGGGCTTTATTGACGTTTTCAAGCACTTAATGAGTGAATGCAGGAAGGACATTTAATATTTTACAAAAGAGATCATGACATGCTGAGATAATGTGCACTACAACTACATACTCAATCTGCATACGTTTTTTAAAGTTTAAGTCTTAGAAGGTACGCTAGTGAAGTCCGTTTCCTTTATGCCCCTCGCGATAAAATATCCTTGGTTTGCGTGTCGTTTCTTTTTTAAATGAGCAGTGTATGGGGGCAGAAACATTAGGAATCGTAACACGCCACTAAATCCTTTAAAATGTGGTCACACATCAATCCTATAAAATGTTACTCAGTGTCTTGACTTGTTGTGTTATCCTAAGTTTCAACTTTGTTTACTTTGTTTCAAAACCACAAATGGAGTTGTTCACCTCATTAAATTATTCTGTCGAAGCAGTCGGCCACTTGTGGCATATACATGATTAGCACATTTGTTCGCATACATATAATAGTTAATAACAGTTACATCAGTAGTCTTAATATATATTAGTGCCTTTTGAACATTCCATACATTAGTACCTTAGCTTACACACACTACACGAAGGCTATGTCTTGTCATTTCTCCTGCTCTCGCTCTAATCTTTGCTCGAGTGACTGTTGGCATTTTCTGCTGCTGTAATTGTGGCTACCACCTGAGGTACAAAACAAAATTCTGGACAGGTAATCGGCATCATAAAAAAAAACTCCACAAAGCATACGGACACAGCTGTCACTTTTGCGGTTCAACTTTTTTGGAGCAACAATTCCACCATAAGTTTTTTTTTTTAATCAGCCTCGGGTCATGTGTACAGGTGGATTGAGTAACTGGAATATGGAGGCAGTGGCTCCATCAGAGCATCCTTTGCCAGACGACAAAATTGTAGTCTATGCAGCACTGATGCATTCGTAATGCATTTCCTGCACTATTGACACATGGTCACATAATTCCACTTAATCCCCTGCACGTCACCTGGAGCTGGGAAAGATTTAGGTGGCATCATTTGCTTATCACAAATTAGAGCCGCAAGTCGCACAAATAAATTAACAGTAATGTGATTATTATTTTTGTTTAAGCAAGAACCATTTCACAGGAATAAGCTTAATTCCGGGAATGGCCGATTTTTAAAACAAACAAAACAGGATGGTCGGTGGGAAAACTTGGGACAGGTGGCCACCCCTGGTGACCATGGTCATCCATCGTTCAATCGTGTGAGACCTGGCTATTGAGGGTTCAGCGATTTTAGTAACAGCTCACGCTAGCAATTGGGGCCGCGCGTTTTGTCTTTGGTGGCTAGAGTGAATGAATCGCAAGCCTTGCTTGTAACCGCAGCTCACCCGGACATGTGTCAACTGCGCAAAGAAAATATATAGGCAGAAAAGTAAACGTGACAAGTTATGAGACTGCGCGCATGCGCACGTAATCTGGTGTCGATGACAACGACAACATACACCTTGCAGTAAAGTATTTTCGAACGCCGTGGCAGCCAAAAGACCTACGAGACAGATGGGTGGGTAGGCTCGTGTTAGTGGTGCACCATAGGCTGGCCTCGCAGTGTTCAGACATGGGCACACACATAGGGTGGACTTCCAAAAACAGTTTTTGGTCAAGAATGGTGGGGCCACGTGATTTCACAATGCGCCCCCCTAGTAGGTAAAGGTGGCGTAGTCAATGTTTAACGTCCCCTTTCTCTGACACGGGCACCTACGCGCACACGTGTGTAGAGTAGAGTCGGGTTCAGTAGTGCATCGTTTGTCAGTTCTGATTGACTTGGGTAAGAGTCTTATGTTGAGTAATTTCCCATAGAATGGAGTAAGGTCAAAGTTGGTTTGCATTGGATCAGGCCTAAGTAAGGCCAGACAAAGATGCGCCGGGTGACGCAGCACACTTTGAGTTTAGGTAAGCTCTGGTCTGGTTGAGTTGGATTAGGTCAGTCAGGCCAATATAGGTCAGCTAGGGGTTGTGCAAGGCTGTGCTAAGGTTAGTAGGGTTAGTATGGACATGAGCGCAAAGTGGGATCGGGTAGGGTTGAGTTGGGTAATGTGAGGGTTGGATAATGTGAGGGTTGGATAACCCCCACTGGAATTGGTGGGGTAGTATATTGGTAGCATCGGGGAGTTGTTGGCCTTTGTTTTGGAAGTTCATGTTGAGGTTGTGGTGACGGTGGTAGAGGAGTGGAGTTGAAGGTCAGCGTTGCTCCCTGCGTGCCTCGACCCGGGTGGGGCAATCACATCCCTGTACACAGACATGTTCTCCGTTAAGTGCCTGTCCCTGAAAGTGTGCATTTAAACCAAGTTCACAACCCAAGTAATTACGATGCATGTGACTTGGTTGTACCCGACTGAATTGCTTAAGATGTTGGTGGTCTCTGCAACGAGTTGAGCAGTTGCACATCCGGTTTCTCGCAGTAGAGACCAACTCAATGGATTTCCTCAACGATTTGTAGCAACGCATCTCATTGCGTGCTGGACATTTGCGACATACAGTTCATAATAAAGGTTTTTGGGTTAGATCGCGATCTAACCCAAAAACCTTTATTATTAATAATATTGGTCGCGAAAGCCTACGTGTTAAACTGACATACAGTTCGTTCTTATAATCCTGAATATGCTGTTTAATTTCCTTGCTGTGCAACTACGAACTCGGATGTAGGCAAAGCATTTGCAGGCGATTTTTTTTTAATTTCGCGAATTCGAGGGAGAATTGATTGCACAACTGATTGCTCAGGTATGGACTTAACTATATATATTCGTTTCGCAATTGCCCTGGTCTGTCACACCGCCGGCAAACTAAGAACACAGCTCACGTCCGTGCCACTCGTAAATCGCCGAAAGGCATCGCACCTCCCTGCGCCCCATCAGAGCCGTCGTGGGAGCCACCGCGAGAGCCACCAGTTGCCCCTGCTGGCTCCGAGGGTGGCTCAGCAGGCCGATCCTCCACTCGGCTCCATCCCGAGCCAATCCACTCCTCCACTTTGTCCTGCTCCCGCCAGAGATGGCACAGCTGTTTATTTTCGCTCTCGCACAAAGGACTACATTGTTTCGATCACTATCTTCCAGGTCACTTGTACAATGAAGCAGGCACTCGAATAGTAGCCACGTAGAGGGGGTATACTGGAGATGGCATGCCAGGTGCTGAAATAATTACCAGGGAACAAACTCGCACCCAGCTGAACTTAAGCCTCGGGTGTATAGCAAGCAAATTTTTACAGGTTATCTATACAACGGAGTGATTTCCCCTGATATGTGGCTCTGGTCACTTTAAATCCATTATGCATTTAGCCTATGACCAGATGACCCGAAAATGTACCTGATTTCGTAACATTTCAAACACTATAAGCAGGTGTAAGCCTGGTTAGTACTTGGATGGGAGACTGCCTGGGAATCGCAGGGGCTGTAGGCTGGCGCTGTGAGGCATCATCAGGGTGACGGCAGTACAAGCATTAATTATTGAATCCATCTGTACAGTGCTTTGAGAGTTAGCATATTGCTTAGGTGTTCTCTGGGTACTCTGGTTTCCTCCCACGTACCGAAAAATCATGAATGGGAATTGGCCAAACATCCCTTTGCAGGGCCCACCAGATGAATTGTCTTGGCTGTATAAATAAACGGCATGATTATTATAAAATAAGTACCTGCATAAATAAGCCTCCTTCACACATCTGTCTCTCCACATGCAAATTAAAGGTATTTCTTCCAAACCTGACACTGCTGATGAGATACTGTCGAAACCAGTCCAGAGTTTGCTTGTTTTGAAACAACGCTGCTGAAATATGCACCTTCAGAAATATTTGCGGTCGATAGTGTGTGTAAGAAATACTTGTGTTCATGTGGAGAGATGGATTTGTAAAGGAGATCTATCTGCTTAGTTTGTTATTTATATTCTCATTTTGAGTTATTTAAAATAATAATTGTCTTAAATCTGTCGAAGCATTGTTGGCGCTGTATAAACAGCTCATGTTTGCGAGTTGTGTTGTAATGGCAGCGTGCTCGGCTGTCAGAAGGGTCGGGGTGAGGGGGTTACCTCATCGCCCTGGCCCGCCCGTGCCTGATCCACCTCTTCAGGTGACAGTACGCGGTGGATGATTTTGCGTGTCACCTGAAACGACAAGATAAATCGTTTTTTAAAACCACGTTGCCAGGTTTATTGATCTCGCAGTTTTTTTACAGACTTAAACATTTATCACAAATTTGGGGTAAAAAAACAACAACTTTTTTTACAAGACACCATTAGTGCATGTCAAGACATGTTAATTGGAAGAAGGTCATCAAACCGCAGAGTTAGCTGCCATGTGAATGACAGAAGAGATGTGATGTCATAATGATGATGAACTCATAACGTTGATGACATTGTAAGTATAGTGACGATGCCACTGAAGAGGGCTCATCCAGTGCGACTCGTGAGGCAAACAGAAGGGAAAGTAAGAAATGTCCCCGTAGCACCTGTCTACCTGAGCATCTCTCATACTCTAGTCCTGGCGACTCTTGTGTGTGAAAATGTGGTAATCGGAGAAGGCTGTGTGAATACTCTTTGGTTCTTTCGGTAAAGTCACGTAGGTGAAAAAAAAAGAAAAAACATAAAAACATTTATTTCTATTTTGTTATTTGTATTTTTTTTCACCTACGTGACTTTACCGAAAGAACCAAAGAGTATGGATCCTTGCAGTCACGAAAACTTAATCTAGAATGAAGGCTGTGTGACGTATAAAAAACCCCCAGTAAATTGGGGTTTTGAAAGTACTGGCCCACATCAACTATTTCATTCAATGAGAGTATTATATATTAAGTTATTGATACTTAAATAAACCACAGTCAGTCCATACACATTCTAATTTCTGGAATGCACTCGTAGGTTTTAACGCGAATGACTGCACCGCAATTAGTCCAACACCTAACATCACTCGCCACCAAACCTCACCGGACTATTTAACCTCTATTTCCTGAAGATCACCAGACGGACAAAACATCAAGATCCTCGTTTCTGTTCAACGACTGTACAAAAGCGAAAACACCTGCTCTTTTTAATTGACCAGTCCTAATATTAATTTATCACATTGTAGCAAATTACAACTTGTATATAACTTTTTTTTTTAACCACTCACCCGACCTGCAAGTCAAAATATCGCGACTACTGCCGGCAGATAAATTGTCAGTCCTCTACGACAGTGCATGAAACTTGAACACGAACTAATTCCCGCGGCAGATGCGGCTCGCCACGACCCGGCGTGAAGCCGAGGTGAGAGACTTGCCCCTTACCTTTCGAGTGACAAGGTTTCCGAACTCGTCCGTGTACTGGTCCTCATGCACAGTCTCCCCGCCCAGCTGCTGCAAGTCTCCTCCCTGCAACCGCACGCACGCAAGGGTGCTGTTAGGTAGCGCTAGGGTAGGCAGTCACATGGCAATAATACGTCATAAGATCCACGAAAGTTGCACAATATATCCACGATGATTGTGTATTCTCTTTTGGAAATATATGTTAACGTCTTGATTAGCATTGCTTATATTATATTCATTGGTGTTTTTGTTTCCTACCAAAAACATTTTAAAAAATAAAGCACAATAATTTATGTTCTAGATAAACAGCTATAACCCGTTTTAAAATTGGTGCTTTGCAAAATGTTCTCTGGAGTAATTGATGGCATGGTGGTTATATGACATCCTAATTTGTGGAGTGCGTGTAATCATTTGTTTGTGTGTACTTGACACCATGTGCTTCATAAGCATTACAAAATGTAATTCGTAATGATTAGAAAAAGCGTATGGTGGGCTTGTTGGGTGAACAGTATCGGGAGGCCTTCATCCATAAGGAAATCGGCACAGGGCTGCAAAAAACACTTTGAATTTACGAGGAATTGGCAAGTGCCACACTTGCTCATAATTAATCTCAAATGCAATATTATAGACGAGATTTACAGACTGCTGAAGGGAATCCAGTAAGCATAGGGGCATGCATGTACACGCACACACAAAACCCACACACGATTTAACGGCAGGTCCTGCAACTTCTGGCTTGGGTTAGCTGCCAGTGGAAGGGCCTCCATTAGAGGGAGCTCTTGCGAGCCCTATGAGAGGATATTTGTTTTTCTTTACCTGTATTATGACTCTGCGACGAATCACTCGTGTAGTCACCTTCTCCCCCCCTTCATCATCATCATCATCATATTCATCATCATCACCATCATCATCACCAACATCCTCTTCATCAACAGCACTGCCAAATTCATCTGTTTCTTTTAAGACCTGTAAGTATAATTATAACACTATTTAACAAACATTTAAGATCCCACAATTCTCCATAATAGTAATTCACATGATCGATCAATTTGCACAGCAATGTAGTTTAAACAGAAACATGCTAGAAATAAAAAACAAATCACGATGTTTCGATCGCAACACAAGCGGTGTTTTGTTAGCTAGCGCTAGGGTAGGCAGTCACATGGCAATAATACGTCATAAGATGATTTTATTTTATTTCTAACTACGTGACTTTACCGAAAGAACCAAAGAATATGGATTCCAGCAGTCACGAACGCTTCACATCAAGATAGAAACATGCTAGTTATAGACTTTCGTTGTAGTGTTGTTGGACAACTAAAAATGTAAGGATGTAATATTTCTTAGGCACAGCAAAACATAGCCTATTGGCTGTCTTTAAAAATTAAACTTCTGAATATTTTTTTTAAAATCTCAAAACCACCTTTTGTTGTCAAGCCTTTTATCAATCCACTGTCGAATGGTCTCCCCCATGCCTTGTGGTCAAGGGGGTTGTTTCACAATACTTTCCCAAGCTGGTCAAGTTTAGCTCTGTGTGGATATCACTCGGCACTGACGTTAGGCCTAGCCAGGAATGAAACTCGGGTCGCAGGGTTAATAGCGCATTGCACATATCGCTGCTCCCACCACTGCTTCCAAAAACAACTTTTAAGTAATTTTTGCCCCATAACTTAAATTGATTTATTACAGCCAAGATGATTGTATACAGCCAGCTATATGTGCTTCAGTTTAAAATTAGACCAGAGTGGCACTTATAGCTCTGAGCTAGCCACATTCACTCAAAGTGCTTGCACATAATAATTGCTTTAGCTCACCTCTTCCGCGAGGTCAGTTTCACTCTTTGCCTTTGCGACGTCCTCTTCCTCCACCAGCTCCTCCTCCCTCTCCTCCTCTTCTGGCATCATCTTCTCTAGTTCAGTTTGCACATCTGACAGTCCCCACTGCGCGAATCCGACCTCTTGCATGACTTCAAGTCGTTCTGTCTCGAGTCGTCCATTTTTGGTGGTAGTGCTGTGAGAACTGGGTTGCATCAGGTCGTCGCCAGTGGCAGTGACTGTTTCATCATGAGAGCCATCGAGAATCAGGAATGTCTGTTCCATCTCTGTGCTGGTGGTGGAGCTATGGTGCTTGGTGGTGGTATGCTGCCGCCTCTCCATCCTGCTCTCCGACTTGCTGTGAAAGTAGCGATTTTCCAGAACGAGCCAACCTTCGTCATCGTCCCATTGTCCACGTCGCTCTTTGTCCAGGCTTGCTGTCGCTCTACCACATTCCTCCTCCCTTCCTGCACCTGAAAATCCATTGTCACCATCAGCTGCCTGGGCGCGTTCCTTCGGAGACATGGGCGACTGCGCTTCCTTTCCCACATTTGGCAGCTCACCACCTGTATCATCGTCTGACAACGCTGGCTGTCCACGACCATCCGATTCCACTGGTGAATAGACATCATATGGCGGCCGTGTCTCCTGTCCGTAAGATGATGAGGCATGGCGTTCAACCTCAAGTTCCCCAGCAGCGCTATCCGGAGTCTCAGTCTTTGCTTGCAAATCTTCACCTTGTGGCGGCAGCAGCTGCTTATCCGGTGACTTCAAAGTGGGTGACGACTTTGGGATTCCCACCAACGCAAGGGCATGTTCCTCAAGCTTTTCCGCATCCACCGTGGGTGGAGCACGATGCTGGTGGATGACCTCGTGCGCGAGGATGTCTTCTTCCACGAGCTCTTCTTCATCATCGCTGGCTATTACCGCCGCCTCCTCAGGCATGGATTCGGGTGAGGAGGCAACTTGTAGTGGAGCTGCATACGAGTGTGGGGAAGGCAGGCACTCCGTAGAAGGAGATTCCTCAGAGTGGCCGATGGATGAGAAGTCGGGTGCTTGCTCCGTCGCTTCAGGCTGAGGTTGCATCTTATGTGTTAGAGAATATTCGGAGTCCAAGGCCAAAGTGTCGACTTCAGGTCGATGCTTGTCAGGTGATGCAACCTTCTCCAGCTGCGGTGACGCAACCTTCTCCAGCTGTGGTGACGCAACCTCCTCCAGCTGTGGTGATGCAACCTCTAGCTGTGGTGACGCAACCTCCTCCAGCTGCGGTGACGCAACCTCCTCCAGCTGCGGTGACGCAACCTCCTCCAGCTGTGGTGACGCAACCTCTAGCTGTGGTGACGCAACCTCCTCCAGCTGCGGTGACGCAACCTCCTCCAGCTGCGGTGACGCAACCTCCTCCAGCTGCGGTGACGCAACCTCCTCCAGCTGTGGTGACGCAACCTCCAGCTGTTGTGACGCAACCTCCAGCTGTGGTGATGCAACCTCCTCCAGCTGGGGTGACACAACCTCCTCCAGCTGTGGTGATGCAACCTCTAGCTGTGGTGATGCAACCTCCTCCAGCTGGGGTGACGCAACCTCCTCCAGCTGTGGTGACGCAACCTCCAGCTGTGGTGACGCAACCTCCAGCTGTGGTGACGCAACCTCCTCCAGCTGTGGTGACGCAACCTTCTCCAGCTGTGGTGATGCAACCTCCTCCAGCTGCGGTGACGCAACCTCCTCCAGCTGCGGTGATGCAACCTCCTCCAGCTGTGGTGATGTAACCGCCTCCAGCTGCGGTGACGCAACCTCCTCCAGCTGTGGTGACGCAACCTCCTCCAGCTGTGGTGACACAACCTCCTCCAGCTGTGGTGATGTAACCTCCAGCTGCGGTGACGCAACCTCCAGCTGCGGTGACGCAACCTCCAGCTGCGATGACGCAACCTCCTCCAGCTGTGGTGATGCAACCTCCAGCTGTGGTGACGCAACCTCCTCCAGCTGTAGTGACGCAACCTCCTCCAGCTGTGGTGATGCAACCTCCAGCTGTGGTGACGCAACCTCCCCCAGCTGTGGTGACGCAACCTCCTCCAGCTGTGGTGACGCAACCTCCAGCTGTAATGACGCAACCTCCAGCTGTAATGACGCAACCTCCAGCTGTGGTGACGCAACCTCCTCCAGCTGTGGTGACGCAACCTCCTCCAGCTGCGGTGACGCAACCTCCTCCAGCTGTGGTGACGCAACCTCCTCCAGCTGTGGTGACGCAACCTCCTCCAGCTGTGGTGACGCAACCTCCTCCAGCTGTGGTGACGCAACCTCCAGCTGTGGTGACGCAACCTCCTCCAGCTGTGGTGACGCAACCTCCTCCAGCTGTGGTGATGCAAACTTCTCGAACGGTGGTGATGCAACCTTCTCCAGATGTGGTGATTTGTCCTCGACTGGAGACTCGGTCGCTCGGTCGAACTGTGATGACAGTTTCGCCTCTTCGCCTCCGTCGCTGGGCGTGGGGCTCGTGAAGCCAGGCGGCTCCAGCGGAGACTCCACTTCCTCCTCATGCGTTGAAGCAGCGGCAGCCTCGGTTTCCTGCCTGTGCCGCGGTGGAGCGGTCCACAGCTCCTCAAAAGTGTGAGAGGACGAAGACGATTCGATCACAACCCCCTCCGTCACCTCTTGGCGGCGATGCTGCTGCTGCCGCAGCACGAAGCCGCCTCCGCCCCTCATCAGCTCGGGTTCCTCATCCTCGCCTTCGTCGCTGCTGGCCTGGAAACCGTTACCGTGGAGACCCTGGCTCAGCTCGCTGTAGAACGTGGTCTCCGTGCGGCTCTGTTGCTCGTGGTGCTCAAAGCGTTGGTGCTGGGCGGCAAGCGCGTGGGCCGCCTCGCCGAGGTGCGGCCGCCCGTGCACGAGACTGTCCAGATCTACGCTTTCCCGTGGCTCCTCCACATCCGCCAGGTCCGAGCCGGTCTCGCACTCATCTCGCTGAACGCTGCTGCTCGACAGCCACTCCTCGGACGTCTCCGACGTACCGAAGGCAACCTGCTGCGCGCCGTCATCGCCCTCGCTTGCCGCACGCTCCCGTGACGTTGCCGCCACCGATTCGTCTTGGATGATGACCTCCACTGACCTCACCTCCGAGGTTGGTGATACTGCATCGGTCTCGCTCGTGATGTCGCAATGTTGCTGTGAATTGTCCAGCGATGCCGGTGAAATGGGCGAGTGTTGCTGGTCCGAGACGGGTGACTCCTCTGCTGGATTGTCCTCATCCTCGTCCTCCTCGAACACGGGCGACTCGGCATCCAAGCTGTCGTCCGGGTCAGGAGTAACCGCATCTCGCTCCGCCTCGTCGCCAGCACCACCATCGACATTGAGAGAGCGGCCACGTGGGCTAATGTCCACAGGGGAGCCCAGGTCTGTCGAGTCGAGATGACTCGACCGGAAGGGTGTCTCCGCCTGGGCCATGCCGGCACACTGGACGAGTGACGGTGGGGTGTGGCCAGAGGGCATAGGGCTCTCACGGCCCCCAACATCATCATCATCGCCGCCCGGTGACATCGGGGAGATTTCCTCCAGGAATTCGGTGAAACCTGTGGCGGAGCGGGGCCCAGCGCGTGTTTCCGGGCGGAAGGGAGCGCGGTGGGGGGTTGGGGTGGGAGGGATGCGGCGAGACGTGTGGGCGTTGGAACAACTACTACACGGACAGGTGAGGCTGAGAGCGTTTCTGAAAGTCGATAATCCCCTCCCCGAGGTACGTCAGTTTAACGGAACGCCAGCAGTGAGAGCCGTGCGCGCCATTCGTACGGCTTGTTGCAAGATTCCACATTTGCTTATCGGGGGAGGGTCATTCTTTTTCAGAAACCTTCTCGGGAATGTAACCACCGTGGCACCAGCACCAAGGAGCAAATACAAGGCACAGCACTGACACTTATACGATCACTACTGCACGGGATGGACGCCGTGGAGACAGAGGTTCAGGGTCAAGCGAGAAAACGTCGGTGATACGACACCACCACCACCACTTGACACCACCACCACACCGTGTCGTACCCCTTCACTGGAGCACAGTGGCTGCTGACGGGTCTTTTAAAATTATTACCCCATTGATGTGGGATGTCTTGGAGGTACTGGTTGGCATGTACGACCAATTCACGTGAATTTGCCCAATCTCATCAGATTATAGATGCTAAAGCAGAGCTGAGCCTGGTGAGTAGTTGAATGGGAGACTGTGGAAATGCTCAAGCTGCGATTTGACCAGGAAATGGCAGTACAGCAATGGGTTCCTGAATCTATACAAGGAAGTTTTTGAGGGCTGCCCCCTGGTATATTTTTGGAACTGGACAAAAAATACAATGCAGAGGGCCCATCTGAAAATGAAGTATTGAGATTCAATTAGGTTTTTCTTGAGTAAATAAAGGTAATTATCACGTGTGTGTATATGTATAAACTTGCCTGCAATTAATTAACTTTCTAGTTTAAACGTGCAATGTCGATCAGTGGGTGAAATGTGGATAAGTCACTTGCTCTGCCACATGAAAGAGTTTGCTAATCTTCCCTTACACCTGTAGTCATGGTCTGCTATCAGACCGCACACTCATGGCTGAGTGTGCGGTCCCATGTCATTCATGAGCTACGTTTTTGTGTTGGCCCAATGATGCACCCTGCATTTCAGGAAAGGCTGCGGTCTATGGTGCTGAACCAGGTAATAACTTAAATCCATGGATAGAATATATAGCCATAAATTAACTTGTAATTTTAATACATGTATTTCAATGTTATTAAGCGTTCTTATTTTCATAATCACGTTTGTCATGACTTATCTCTTCTTAAAATGTTACCTGTTTGTCAGAATATTAATTGATCATGATTTAAAGTGTTATTCGAATTATAGGAATTTGTATTTTGAGGAATTTAATACCTAATTTTTTACTTGTAAAACATTATTTTAATTGTTGATAAAAGCTAAGGTATTTAGATGAGAATAGTAATGTTCTGATGCGGGGTGCTTCTGTGGGTACTCCCGCCACTTGAAAGATGCTGCCAGGTGTGAAAGAGTATCCCAGATACCCTCTATAGAGTGCTCGCGTACTCCCTCTAGTGGAGGCCCTTCCACCAGACCTGCAATGGCAGGTCTGCACCTTCACCACCTATTCATTATTATTGCACTGCCTCGTGGATTGTGCTTCTCATGGCAGCTTTCCTCTGGCCTCACGCACTCCTGTCCCATGAGCGCATGTGGTTTTCGATGGGGTCTGCTTTACAAGAGGCCGAACCGAGCAACGGGTGACCGAGTTGGCAGGAGGCCTAGGGGGGTGTTGTTGGATGATGGAGAGAGGATAGGAAGGGAATGAGGGAAGGAGATAAAGGGAGGAGGAGGGGGGGGGATGTGGCGCACTGGTGTGGGGAAAGGCAGGAGGGAGGCCTGGAAGCAGCCCTCCTTATGAAGCGCAACTTCCTCTCCCCCTGCAGTGTGCCACGGTAATCTCTACACCGCACCGCACGACGTGTGGGGGCAGTGACTTATACCAGTGATAGGGGTCTGGTGTGAACACACACTACGCACTCACACACACACACACCCGCACGCTCCTAGATCATTACCAGGTTTCCCGGCAACCAGAAATGTAACCCCAGAGTCTTGGAGCAGTTATCTACACTTTTGCATATTCGCATATTTTGTTTTTATTTATGTATATCTATGGTTTGCTTTGGATAGGGGGGGGGGGGTTAATGTTATCAAGTTGCCTGGGGTGAGCTTTCTATGGAAACCGGAATCCCTGCAACGTCAAGGAGGCACGGAACTCGCAACGAGGGACCGAGCCGCGCATCAAAAGACGCACGGCCCTAATTTTGCATATTTGAATTTAAAACACATTATTACTATTACAGTACGGTGTTATGTTTTAAATCAATAGAAGATTAGTGAAATGCTACGTTGCCATAGAAAGAACGTTTAAAAAATATAGCGTAAAATTATTAAAAAATAAAAGTGACTCGTAAGGGAGACGGGAATGTAAGTTCAAAGCAACCGACTTACATTTTTGCTTTGCATGCACTGTGCTCTTAAAAGAAAAATACTTTTAAAAATAAATGCCACCGTTACATTTGCCAAGCCGTTAAATAGCAAACGCAAATAATTTGTTTTTGTCATTTTTAAGCAAAAAACAAAAATTTGGGAAACGAAACATTAGTCGTTATTATTAGTCGTAATTATTAGTCATAATTCACGGGAGCCAAAGAAACCAAAGAGGAGGCGACTCAAACACAAAACGGACACAAAGGGTGGAGACATAGGCATGGCGCCGGGCGTGAAACATGAGAGAAGCAACATCGATGCGGTGCAGGATGGCGTGCGCTGTTAATGTGGCCCGACTGAGGGTTCCCGTCGGAAGGAAGGAAGCAGGAAGGAAAACAGAAAAGAAAACAAACAACAGTAAGGTTAATAATCAAAGTGAACAAGTGAGAGAAGGCTTTTTCTAACCAAGGATCTTTTTTTTTAATATATATACCGTAACCTTTTCCTTTGATGCTTCCGCCAAAAATAACGAATTGCCAGGTGAGGCAGTGGTCGTAGGTGTTGTACGATTAGGATTATTACCGTTGTCTGCATTGCTACAATTTCAGGGGGTTACGCAGTACTTGTCTGTGGCCTCCTCGTCCATGCGGCATGGCTCCATAAGTCTAAAAGGTGTTTTGCCTGTTGTACTGCGGTGTTTTGCCTGTTGTACTGCAGTGTTTTGCCTGTTGTCCCAAATTGCGCTCCCACGTGAAAAAGCGACGTGGTACATCGTGCTGAACAAACGCACCGTACAATTAGAAATCGCGTTGGGAGAGCTATGCTCACTCGATGGCAGTCGTATAGCTGACCATGGTTCACTGGTTTAGACCCTAGTGGTGATGATGAGTTGCTTCGTGATCCAGAGCTTTGAAAGCGAGGGTTGGGTTGGTGGATCACGTGAAACTCCCAAACTCGCTGGGGCTGCTAGATGGCCAGGAGACACGGGTTCAGAATGTGGGTTCATGAACACATCTGTGTGGCTACTTTTCATATGCCTACTGGCTTTTCTTTGGGTTTTCAGGTTTTTTTCTTACATGCAAAATGTGATTTCAAAAGGAATTAGCCATATATACCAATTGGCCACTTATCTAAATTCTCATGAAGAAGTGACAGTACCCAGGATAAATAATACAAATATATTATATATTTGGAAGTCAGTAGCTGGGCTGATGAACCATTAAAAGGGTAAAACGTTCAGCACCTCCAACATTAAAAACTGTTAACACCTTTCCAGAAGGCCTGGTAGTTGAAATGCGGAGTTATATTTGTTATCAAGTAACACTTACCTTTCTCACTCTATAAAACAATGTTTTTTTAACTTGGCAGTAATGTCAATTCAGGTTGGTGGTTTATGCGCGGATGATGATCCATATTACTCCCAAATCAAAATACCATACTACAAAAACATGGATCAACCACTCCAAATCAGGGCTCTCCTGATGTCAACCTGGAGCTGAGCAAACTTGCGCCAGGTCATACCAGCAATGTCAGCATCAGCCTGTGTGTGGAAGTGGCTCGTGAACGACGCGACTGGGTGGCTGAGAGCACTCCCTTCAACAGCAACATGAGAGTGACATTCACAATAACATGGCATTGCTTAGTGGTTATACAAGGGGGTCTTGTGAGGATACAGAGAAGCTCCGCTAACAACATTGTTCCATCACTCAAGCAAGCTTCCCAAAATCATCTTGACCTTCAATAAAAAATAGAAAATACTGTCAAAGTGCACCTAGAGTGGTAGAGACATCACTGTGACATTATAACCACTAATTATTTAAATACGTTTTCACTGTCTGTGGTTGTTAGTGCTCGTGTGTGTGTTTTTGCTCGGTGCTTTTAATGTCGTGCAGATTGGATGGTGTGGGGGTGTGGAGTGATGCAGTGTGTGTGGCATGATCTGTTTGTTGTGGTCTGTATAGTGCAATGTAATGTGTTATGCAGTTGTGTGGTGTGCGTGAATTAGTGTGGTTTTTTATGTTATGCTGCGTACGATTAGCTATTTGTGTTACCCTCCGAGATGTGTAGTCTGTACATTCGAGTCATCCGTGTTACACTTTGCGTTGTTCCGAGTTGTGTGGCCCGTACGACGGAGTCTTGTTTTCTGTGTGGTTGTGTGGTTTCTACAGTCGGAGTCATCCATGGTGCAACCCTGTGCGCGTGTGGCTCTGTGCCCCCACCGGCGGATGTGTCGAGCTGCATGGTCTGCTCGAGCTCGCCGTAGGAGAAGGATGCCTCGGCAGCGCTCTCGCGCTGCCCGCTCTGTCCGCTCTGCACCAACCCCACGAGGTCAGCGCGGTTCACGCGCACCAGCGCCGGGATGAGTCTCCCCGCTGAGTGCACAATACACACGGGGGGGGGGATACACGCGTTGGTACGGCCTTGCAGCTTACCTAGTGTGTAAGGCGGTGCAACTGTGCCAGGGCCCATGGGTTGTGGGGAGGGGGGGCAGGCACAGCAGGTTATGAGTAGGATGCAATAATATGGACCAGTGGCACAGCACGGCTGGCGTGGGTCCTGGTGTAAGAAGTTTCTTTGTGTTTATAGTTGTGGTGAGCTTGTTGGCCCAAAAATATTTTATGGGTACGACCCAGGGTGGCTAATGGTACCGCTGATTTTGTTTCAAGGAACATTTTTCTCGATTACAAATATGTATGATAGCAAGGTCAGCGTAGTACCATTTTGAGAAAAATGGCATTAAACTATGGCAAAGGTGCATTTGGTGGAGAGGAAAAAAAAAACCTGAAATGAAACATCTACAGAATATGAAAAATACTGGTGTGCGTGTATATATTAAGCCTTCTGTAGATGGTGGATACTGCCCATAGCATTTGCCATCCCAGATGTTACCAAACAACCTCTCCCCCTTTGGCTCATGGGCTATTATAATAACCAGCCCCTATCGCCAAGATGTGACCAGGACGGTTGTGCACATTAGTCGATCACGTGGAGGGGGTTTAGTAGCGCGGGAGAGGACGGACGTACGTGTGGCGGTGGTGCCCTCCCTCTCGGCCCACAGCTTGAGGAGGCTCGCCGCCTGGTCCACCAGAGACTCGGGGTTGTCCTCACGAAGCTGTCGGATCTGCTCGGCCGAGAAGCCCAGCTCCCTCGCCAGCTCTGCTTGGCACAGTGGATTTATTGTTTGTTTGCTGTGGTTATTTAATCTGCGATCAGAATCTCTTTATTTATCCTGGAGGAATCCAATGGACTATTAAACTCTTTTTCACGGATGTCCAGTAGGGGCGGGTCGGCGAGTTACAACTCAGGCCAGTGTTTTGCAGGTCGTTTTTTCACGATACTTTTGTGTAATGCATAAAAAAATCGGATATAAGCATGTACACTGTTCTATGCCTCCCACACGTAAATGTTTTTAGCCCATCGGCCTATTTATTTGGCTGTTCAGACCAATATTATCAAGCAATATTTGTTTAAGCAAGTAAACTCTGGATCGGTCTCAATGTTCTGGGTCTCCTAAACAGAGTTGAGTTTTGTTCAATGTTGCTGGGTTGCATATATAGTTTGGTGGTCAGATATGTTGATCTGTTAATAGCATTCTTTTGCCGTTTTAGCATGACCTAAGTAATTTGTTATTACCTCAACTGCCGTGGGTTCTACCTGTGGATTCACCAGCTTGGCGTTCCAGGGTAGGCTATAGACCTGTTCAAGTAAACATGCCAATGCTGGGTTAACGTTGGCATATTGGTTAGCCAATTGTTCCATGTTTGCTTGGATAGCTACGAGGTGACTATCAGAGGGTATGTATGATAATCAGGTGTCCCTAGCAAAGCAATTACCAGTCACTCCATTAAATGGTTTGTACTCCCTCTGCAGGTCTGGTAATGCCTTCTCTGCAGTAGACTTAAGTTGTAAAATGTCCTGTAAAGTTTCCAAGACAATCATTGTTCCTTCATCGAATTTGTGCTACAAGAATGGTGCCATTTCCACATTGTACTTAATTAACTTGCAGATTGTTGGTGCATTGCTCGCCCTTTTTTAAACGAATTTTGGTTTTCCAGTTATACGTGAAAAAATAAAATGTATACTTCAATAAATCCGTCGCACTATGACCGTGAGGTACTATCAGCCTGTACCTCATCACTTAACCCTCATCACCTCCTCACTTCATCCCAAAACAACTTACCCTCTCAACCTCATCTCACTCTCACCATCTGACCCCCCCCTCACCATCACAGTCCCTCATCCACCGCCAATGTGCGGGCTGGTGCCAGTGACCCCTCGTGGGAAAATTCAGCACTGACCTTGCCAGCTGAGGCCAAGGCTCTCGGCGAGCGCTGGAACTCCGCCATCACCGCTTGGACCTGCACGACCAGCGGCCATCGTGAGTGGCATTGACACTACTGCCGCCACTGTCGTCATTTCAGTGGGCACTAAACGGCAGCACCATTTCCAAATTCATAAACAGCAGCAGCAACACTTGCATCGACATAATTCTTATTATAATCATAATTGTAAGCAATATTATTAGTGCCACCACATCACAACATTCACAAACAGCATCATCATCAGCAGCAGCACCACCACCACTGCCATCATTATTGCAAAAGTGATCAACCAACAGGAAACACCACCAAACGTCATGATGATCGTCATCATCATTAACGACAATGGAATGACGCATGCAGCACATGGGACGTGAGACACGGGTACACATGGGGGGGGGGGGGGGGTCAATTTGAAGGCAGAAAAACACGGGACAAGACGCACAAGGACCACGGAGGCATGGGGATGCAGTGGGAAGCACACGACACATTTGCTACGGCCTACCATACATTAGCTTTGCAAAGCCTACATTCAAGTTCTGTGTATTAAAAAAAAAAGATTGAATGAAAATAGTGCATCTAATTATATTCGTTATTGCGTTTTTTAAGCTCTGGGGTTTCTGTGCATACTCGTAAAACCTCGTTATTTTTCACCCACCGTACCACCAAGTTGCACGTGACAGGACAAGTCGGTCCGGTCGGGCACAGGACAACGCTCGTGACAACAACATGACAGGCACGGGTAGAGCGGTAGGGGCAAGGCACACGACGTGACGACGTCACACATCACGCACACAAACACAGGATGTGAACAAGAGGACGCCGCTGGACGTTGTATGAAAGCCAATCAAGGCACAACATGGTGCCAGAGAGGGCATGATCAGGTGTGAGGTTGGGAAAGGGCAGGACATCAAGGAATGAGCACAGTACGACTACGTCATTGGCAGGACAAGACGGCACAGGGGAGGCGAATGATTGCGTTTTGAGAACAGAGCATCCAGGACTCCCGTTTCAGAAACGTGCTGCTCAAATTAAGACGTGTAATTGGGGGGGGGGACGGGGGGGTTTTGGGGCACTTGCGTACCCACATTTGGTGCCATAACCCCCAGGGGTGGTGCCTAATTGCGCCGAGGGTCATTTTTTTTAAGGTAAATGCAGTGTGCAGATGTGCCCGTGGCAGACTTAACACGGTTATCTTGATTAATGTTGCAGTTTCAAGAGCGGGATAATTTTATCAGCACAGTGCTCGTGATTGCATTCACGAAGTAAATTAAGCAAAGGCCGTAACATGGCCAAAAGGGAATTGAAATCGAGCTAATTTAATTAACCTTTAGTTTCTTGTGAAATGATTAGCAGCTTGTTTCATTTACATATCACTGTTTAAAAAGGCATTCTGCTCAAGTGCTGATTATTTTAAGAATATATAATTAGGCGAGTGACGTTGTTTATTTCAAATATTTGTTTATTTCCCCAGTAAGGAGACTAAGATGCCTGTCTAAGGCATGCCAGATCAGTATAGATCAGAATTGATCTCATGGCAAAGATTTGTTTTAATTATGCCGTTACGCCTGTTATCTCTTGTCATAAAGGCCACGTAACCCCCCCCCCTCCCCATCTCCAATGGGCTCCAGTAACGGAACTTAATCGAATTCTTGTGGCTGTCACCTGCTTATTATAAATACTTTTGAATATAGGCAGACAGGAGCAGCACCCTGTGCAAGTGGCAACTGTTGTTATCTGCCAGCACTGGATGCGCTGCCCTGACACACAATAATTCGCTGCTGCGGATGGGGGGGGAGAGAGAGAGGGCTGTACAAACTAGGCTCATGTGTGGTGACGGGAGCGATGGACTGGGTATCGCCAGGCTCCCCGGCTCCATAAATCCTCTGCATCTGCGTCTCGACGGCCTCCTCCCACACGGGTCGCGTTTCTGCTCGCTCCCCGGCCTCGTGGGCCTGAGTGACCACTGATGGTGGTGGTGGGAAGGCAGCGCCCCCTCCTCCTCCCACTGTCGGGATCTCTTCCCTCACTGTGCGGTCATCGTCGTCGTCGTCGTCGTCGTCATCGTCGTCGGTGCCGGCCGAGTCGTCCTCGCAGCCGTCGTCTTCCGTGAGCCGCTCGGCGAGCTTCTGCGCTTCGTCGCTGATCTCCTCGAAGTACTCGAGCGAGTGCTGGTACAGGTCGTGGAAGCGGGGATCTCCGCCGCCAAACATAAATCCTCCTGCGGCCGCTCCCACTCCTCCTCCCGGCTGCTGGGATGCCGGCGCTCCCCTCGTCGTGCCTGCCGCTGCTTTCACCGGGATCCTCGACTGCGGTTTGGTCACCTTGGACGCACTCTCCGTCAGCTCAAAGTTCAACTCCTGTTCCGTTAACTCCCTGAGGAGGTCCCGCTCCGCGTATCCTCGCTGCTCGGGAACCACCGGCTGTGTCGGCCTGCTGTGACCGAGCTGCTGCTGCTGTTGCTGTTCAAATATCTCTTGGTCCCTGGACGCTGCGCTGTCTTCGTGTTTCTTTGGAAATTTCAACGTCCTCGTCACTCGCTGCTGTTGTTGCTGTGGCTCATCTTTCTGCTTGTCGGCCCGTTCGTCGTGCGCGTCCCTCGGCATGGCACTCACCACGGCGGTGCTGCGCACAGGGATCTTGGAGCGGTGGTCGATGGGAGCGGCCTCCGCCGTTGGGATTTCCACGATCAGCTGAGAATCAACTTCGTGGTCTTCGTGATAAACAGACCCCGCTACTGCCGCCTCTCTGTGCCTTGGCGACAAAGGGAGGACGTCCTGTTGCTTGACGATCTCCGAGAGCTCCGCCCAGGATTCTCGCACGTACGGCTTCACCTCGGCAACCTCGGGAGCTGGCGCCTCCTTGCGTGTGGTCTTCGCTGAGGCAGAGACGCCCATTTTGATGGGGATTCTGGACTTGGGCTCCGTCTTGGCCACCGTGGCCCCAGATCCATTGTCGTCGAGCGACTCCGAGAACATTCCGTGGTGAGTGTCGCGTACAGGCGACAGATCGTCCGCCTGCTCCGACGCCGACTCTCCTCCGAACTCCTGCACGGGTTTGTTGAGGTCACCCGGGCACAGCTCCATATTTCCACCGTCGGCAGCCGATTCCTCGTCCGACTTCCTCCTGTTTCCTCCATCCTGCTCGCCCAGCTGCAAGAACTGCACGCCCTCCTCTCCAAACTCCCGCTTGCTCATGTCGATGGCGCCGCCACGCGTCATCTCGAACATCTTCCCTTCGCAGAACGGGAAGGGGACGATCTCCTCGGTGGGGGACACCTCGACGCCGGTTGGGGTTCTAGCCGGCGATCCTTCCTTGTGGTCACTCCGTGAAGCGGTGGCAGATTCCTCCATCAGCCGTACAACTTTCTGCTCCTCTTCACTGAGCCGTTCCTCGAAGGCCAAGTCGTCATCTCTGACGCTCGCCCACGACCTAAAGTCAGCTGCCGCCGCCCCCTCCTCCTCCTCTTCCTCTGCTGTTGTCATGCCAGTTGAGCTGAACATAACTGACGTCTGAGCCTGGGAGAAGTGGGCGGCCTCACTTACGCTGGCCGAAGTCATCATGGACCTTTCTGTGGAGTAATGTCCCTCAGCTTGGTAGGCGGAGGAGGTTTCAACCATCTGCCGCATGCACGTCATTACTTTGGTGCTGCTCATCGTGGAGGTCTCGCTTGATGTCCTTTGCTGCTCTGTCCACGCAAACGTTTCCTCTCCGTGGCCCGCAGCGTCACTCGCTTGCTCGCGTGTCAACTCTGACTTGCCATCCAGTCGTTGGTGCTCTGCTGCAGATGTTACGAAGGAGTGGCGATCACCCGACATATCCTTGAGGCTGTCCTCTTCCTCAGGGCTCGATGGGCTGTCGTCGTCTTTGGCTCCGGGCGGGAGAGGTGACGGTGGCTCAACGCGAATCGCCGGTTCCTCCAGAAGTCCGCTCTCGTGGCTCTGCCGCAGCTCCCCGAGCTCTGGCTCACTTTCTGGAGAGGAAGTCGCTCCAAATTCTTCTTGTTCTCGTTCTGCGCCCTTTGTCATCGTCGCATGATGATCAGTGGAAGAGTCATGTCGTGAAAAGCTCTGGTGGGATGAGTATTCGTATGAAAAGGTCGATCCAGTGACTCCGGTCTTAGTTTCGTGAGTAACAATCGTCTTGAATCCCCTGCTAAGATTCATGTTATCGTCATCGTCATCATGTATGTTGTCATCATAGTAGTACGTTTCGGGCTTCTTCCTGGCCTTGGCTTCCTCCTCAAGAACGCCAAATGTCTTTATCTTAGCCGCCATTTTGAACATGTATTCCTCTGGCGTCGGGGGTTTTGCGATATTCGATTCTTGCTGCTGCTCCTCTTCACTCGCTGTCATCATTGAGAGGAACTCGTCGGTTGCATTTTCAACTTGTGCGTTCTCAGTCCCCGAGATATCTTCATCCTCTTGCTCTTCCAGAATAACGCTGGGCTTTTGCGGAGGTGCCTTGAGGTCGATGACAGCACCTGGGGTCACCTCGTAACTCACCTCCTCCGAGCTGGGTGTCTCAGGAGTGGCTGGACTCTTCCCTGAACTCTCCATGAGGGACGTTTGCTCCAGGCTGTCTTCATCCGGGCTTCCCTGCGGCGACATCATGGCTCTGAGTGATCGTCCGATGGCCGATTCAGCTTTGCCCTTTGAGTCGATCGCCCTCTTCAGTTTGTCCGGCAGCTCTTGGGAAGCCCCACGTCTTGACGTCCCGTGCACGCCCGCAAACTCCGGCAGCTGCTCGGACGCTCTGAGTTTGACGGGACTTGTCTCGAGGGAGTCGGGCAGCGGGTATTCCTTCAGCGGGCTCGGCTCCAGCGAGTCGGGAGACTCCTGCGAAGACGCTCCGGCCTCCTCCTGGTCGGGGCTGCCCTCCAGGGAGTCTTTCTGCGCAATCATGGAATCGTCGAGTGACGGGCTGTTTGCGTTGGGTGACACCAGGCCGGAGAGGTCCATGCTGGGTCGCCCCGCCTCCATTTTGCCGTCCTCTTCAAGCTGTGTCCACTGAGAGTCCATCTCGTGGGTGTCCACCACGTCTTGAGCCAGCTTCTCCTCAGACTCCACCAGGTCCTCGGCTTCGATGGGAGACAGGGCTTCTTTTTCTTCCACAAAGGAGCTCTCTTTGACCGAGAGGTCGCGCTCCGTGTCCTGGTCTGATCCGGTAGGGGATGTGATGGCGTCGGGGTCCACAGGTCCCAGGAGGTCGCTCATGAGTTCAGTTTCGGACGCGATAATATTCCTTGCCAGTGACGGGGGGCTCTCGTCATCGGTCACGGCGCCCTCCTTCGGGTACGACGAGTACAGCTCGCGCTCGATCTTGTGCTCGGCCTCCGTTGGGGACACGGCGTGCTCTAGTTCGCTCAACTGCTCCATCCGTGTCATCTTCTGCCAGGTGTACTCACCGCCGCCCACCATAAGCAGCCCCTCATCCTCCTCCTCCTCCTGCTGTTGCAGCCTCTCGGAGAGGTGTCGGTCTTCTAGTGTGTCGTAACCGTCTGCTGCCGCAGGGTGTGGGACTGCTGCAGCTGCAGCTCCGACTTCATCTTCTTCAAGAGGTGGCATCTCATCACTGCCTGCGACACAAACCTCCACAACTCCTCTGTGGCTGTACTCCTCCTCCTCCTCTTCTTCCTCCACAAAAGCATCGTGCGAGATGTTGGTTGACTTCACGATGGTCTTGGAAGATGTCTTTGAGTCGACGATGGTTTGTCCCATGGACACCTCCGTGTCCTTTTGGGTGCCTTTCTGCGGGGATGTGGAGAGGCTGACATCCTCGGGACTCGTCTCCAGGGTCTCAGCCAGCCCCTCGTGCTTGAGGCTTTCCTCGGAGCTGATGTGCGACGTTCCATCTCCCAGGCTGACGCTCGACAATTCTGCGATCCCCTCGTGCTTTTGGCTGTCGGAGCTGCCATTTTCAAGTGCCGGCACGACAACTTCTTTTTGGGAAGGCTCTTCCGGTGTGTCTGCCTCCTGTTGAGTGGCGCTCTCCCGCTCCTGCTCCCGCTCCTGCTCCCGCTCCTGCTCCCGCTCCTGCTCCCGCTCTTGCTCCCGCTCCCTCTCGGTTGGGAACGGGCTGGATATCATGTCGCCAAAGTGGAACTCGCTCAGCGTCTGTCGGTCTGTGCTCTTCTTGTACTGCTGGTAGCGGTCGCTCTCCTCCAGTTCATTGCGCAGGTCTTCTGAGAAATCCGTCGATGTCCGCCGGTCGGGGCTGATCTGGCAGTCCGAGAAACGACGGTCATCCGAGACCACGTTTGCCGACAGGCTGCTCCCCGGCTCCTTGAACCCGGACTCGGTGACGTCGGAGCCCTCCTCCATCGTCTGCTGCCCCAACTTCTCGGGTAAAGCGTCGCGAGCTTCGTTGATGATGACCTGGGAGCACTGAGCGACGATGCTGACTTCGCTAAAGTTGTCGATGTCAGCGCTGTCTGCCTCTTCTTCTGTGAAGCTCGTGGTGGCTTTAGTTGCATCATCTGTGGTTGCTTCTGAGATGATAGTGGGGGCTTCTACGTCTGGTTCACCGTCCTCTTTCGCGAGCACCTCGCGGTGTTCACGCTCGTGCTCGATGTCATCGTGTTTCAGTTCGGTCGATGCTTCCCAGCTGCCTGCGTTTGACTCTGTCTCGACCTTTGTCATCGCCTGCTTGCCTTTTTCCTCGCCGGACACAGATTTGAACTCAAAGAGTCCCATGGCGACTTTTGAAGGATCTTTGCCAGATTGGAATGCTCTCATCAGGTCTTTTACTGACATTGTCTCCTCCAGGTTCTCTGAACTCTCCCTGCCTTTGTCTTCGAGCTGCACGATTTTCGTCACCTTGTTCACTGTCGTGGAGGTCACGGTCGTTTTGGCCCCTCCGTGTTCCTCAAACGTGTGCACCTCTTTGGTGATGGATGCACGCTTGTGTTGTTGCCCCTTCTCCGCCTCCACCTTCATCTGAATCGCCCTAACCCGATCTTTGATGGATCCAATTGGAGTCTCCTCCACACCTGGAGACTTTGGCGCTGGCTCTGAATCTGCGGTCGACAAAAACGAGATGGGCTGCTGCGGCTGAGATGATGCCTCTGCTAAAACTTGCTCCTCAGGCTGATGTAGGTGGCTCAGCTCCTGGGTCGACTGTTTGATTGTTTTCGAAAGGGTTCGTACTCTGACAGGAGGGATTGGGGGGCTCACAATCGGCATTTCGTTTCCTTGTGGTGCCTCCATTTCTGAAGAACTCGTTCTCTTAGCTGGCTGAGATTCTCCACCTGCCGCTTTTTCCACTGGCACGTCGACCTCATCGTAATCCGTATCTGACAATCCTGCGGTCGCAGACTCCCGGGCGACGAACACCTGCACGATGTCCTCGCTAACGATTTTGCGGCCCTGAATCTCGTCCCTCTTCTCCTCTTCGCGTTTCTCGCTCTGCTCTTGCACCACTTCCATATCCCATGTGAGCAGCTCCATGATGCCGGCATCATCCTTCGCACGAGCGGCGAACGTCTCCACAGGGCGCACCGTTTGCAGCACGACCTTCTCTTCCTCCCAAACGTCTTCCTCGTCCAGAGCCACGCCCCTCGCGGCTTCCTCGACCTCTTCCTCGTCGATGACGGACCAGTCTTCTTCGTCTTCCTTCTCCTCCTCCTCGCGCGCCAATGCCACGGCCGCCCGCTTGTTTCCATGCACTCCGTCGTGGCCCCGCTGAAGGATGACGCTGACCCGCTCCAGGTCCTCCTTGACCATCCCCACCAGCTCCATGGGCTCCTCCTCATCGTGGAGGCCCTGCGCCCTTCCTTGGTAGTGCAGCCTGGAGGAGGCCACCTTGCCGAGGGTGTCCGAGTCAGTGCCGAGGAGGGCTGTGACCTTGAGGAGGTCTTCCTTCATCTCGGCCACTTCGAGGAGGAGGGCGTGCCTCTGTGGAGACTTTACCTCCCTTTCTCCTCCTGGCGCCCCAGCTTTGTGTTTGCCAGCAGAGAGCAAATTAACGGAAAAATTTGCAAAGCAAGAACGGGAAATAAATACGAACGGGAGGAAAAACAAACAGAACGAGGAAGATAAAGAAAAAAATGACAAAGAAAGAAATTTGAGAAGTTGTTTTTTTTGGTTAAGGTAAGCACAGAGCACAAGGGCAGCTTTGTCAACAAGTGAAAAAAATAAAGGCACACTACAAAGTGAAAAATTCATGACCTGAGAATGAGGAGGTGGTGACGAGGTGAGGGACGCATGGCTAACGTAAAAACACGTGTGTGTGAAGCGTTACACTGGCATCATGCAGCACGAGCCTCCAGTCGCAGAACATGCAGACAAACACTAACTACACTTCTGACACCCATGTGCGCGCTCAATTAAATGTATGCTACACTACAAGCATTGTCTTTAAGGACACAAAGATTTGAATTGTTTTTACTAAACTCACTGATTCTCCTCCTGATTGTAAATTGGCAACACTAGCAGGCCAAGGCTAACATCAAATGTTCAGCCCCGCGATAATATGTATAGTTATACATATATATCGAACTAAAACAGCAAGATCGAAATTTTGCTGGTATTAAAAACAAATGTAATAAACTATTCGTGCAGTGGCACTAGCATCATAAAAATACTGGTACGTGATAAAAAAAATTCAAAAATGGATGGAGAACAGAAGAAAATAAATTCCGAGTGGCGGTACAAGACAGGCAGCATGCAGGCACACGAGCAGGGTGAGCCCCGACAAGTAAAATGGCTTTTTCCAGCCAGCAATTCGAGGCCAGGTGGTGATGAAAAGCAAGAGGAGGGTCATCTGAATTGGATTATCATGGAACTAATTAGGACAAATCCATGAGGTTTAAGAACGAACGTCATGCTATTTTTTTTTCCCCAAAATATTTTTTCTGATATTCAAAAGGCCGGGCGATCATAAAGTTCCTCGCAAGTTGTCATGTTCTATTATTTAGAAACAAATGCTTACGTTTGTACTGTACTTTCTGTCAATGCAAAAGTTATAATGCATTCTAAAACGTAAACTTGTTTGTTAGCTGGTTGGAAGTGAATTGTTTGCTCCAGTAGTAGTAGCCCTGTAGCCCGTTAATGCACTCCAGGCACGCTCACAGTCAATCACTTTATTGTTACTATTATCGTTAATAGCAATGGAATTATTCTCGTCAACTTCATGCCATGAGACCTCCACTAATATCAAGGGCTCTGTCTACCAGTTTGACTGTGGGTTATATGGCGGGTTAAGGTCATCTGGACTACGAGTGGTAGAGGGCATTGGAGCTAGGGTTTACGGAGCTGAGACACTGTCTGAGAAGCCACTGAGCCATGGATGATTGCGATTAAATAAACCGGCTGCATTTGTGATGCAAAGCATTCTGGTCAGCCTTCACCGTCACGAAACGTTTGACAAAGCTTTCAAAATGGACTACAAGTTGAAGTGGAAGAGGCTGGATAGCACGAATATAAATTCCTAAATGTTAAGGCGTATTGCAAACCTGTAGCAGTATTGTGAAGGTGAATTACGTTAAACATGGGAGGGCACTATATGATCACCCTGTCTATATCACTGTGCATTATTTAAGATAAATTTATAATAAAAAACAGTTCTGTAATTGAGGCCCATTTCAACCGTTGGAAGTTTTTCTCTTTAATTACTGCACAGATTTTATGGATTACATATTAATACATAGTTGTATCTTTATAAACTCTTAATTTCATGCGTTCGCAGCTGCATGAAGCTGCTTGCACCTGAACAGATCCATTCCATTATCAACCATGGCCAGCGCTGCACTGAACGACTGGAGGAGATTGGTAAATGGGTAAAGGGCGAGCCTGTGGGTGGACTGCGAGGTCTGGCGTTTTGACGGATTGCGCGTCTCTTTCTTCCCACGCCTTGTGTCAGCAGCTTCCGCGATGCCATGGGAAACTCTTTTCTTTCCCCTCCCAATTGAAATTTGGGAGGGGAAAGAAGAAAAGTGGCGTTTTAAACACTAAATGCAAATCCTTGGCAGATCCTCAGCTCTTTAGCACGATATAGAACATACACCATCGGAAAATGGTGTAAAAGTTTTCAAAGACCGCGATAACCTCAAGCTCATGGATTCACAAAGCCAGATTTCACGCACCTCCTGGCATAAAATCTTGAGTGCAGAATTTTAAATACACTTATGTCAGCGTCCCAGCGTACTGATATGCATGATCGTTTAGTGGATGTTAAGCAAGGATATTGTTTACCATTTGCAGCCGACATTGCTTCTTTTTAGGTGGCCTATTCTGTTTTTTTTTTATTCCAAGTAAAATGTTCAGTTATATTTTTAAAATGCCCTTCATGCATTAGCATTTGGCCTAGTTCATAAGACAAATGCATGGCATGAGGCGAAAGCAGTGAAGTGTACGTCAAGGCAGCATGATTTCGGCTTGTTAGTTTTTAGATGACAGCGCTCAGCTCTGATCACTGTGAGGAAGGTAACCGAATCCGCCTTGAGTATTCCCAATGTTATTTATGCACAGGTGGTTCATGACGCTCACAGGTGAATAGTTGTTCACATGAACCCGATCGCCATTTTCTCCACGTGATCACCCTCTATAGATTGGCGCCTGTGCCAATGTCCCACAAGCAGTGGCACAGGAGTCTTGCGGTTGTGGTTTCTATGCCATGGCTGCACCAACTACCTCCCAGGTTATACACTGTTATTCCAGAGGTCTCAACAGATGCAAGTCTACAGGGTCTAGGTCTGCACTGTTAACCGAATATTCCATGGCATCCCATCTCAGCTTTTCCAAGCGTTCCATGATTGCGTGTGGTTGGTGTAGGAGTGCTTTATTGTGCAAAAAATGTTGCTATTATGTGACGCTTCATATTTTGATAGATTTCACTTGCCTTTACATCCTCCGATGACAATAACGGTAGTTTAACACGTAGGCTTAACGTTAATTTACTCAATATATTTTTGAAACTTGCCAATCTTAATTCATATTAATTGGGTTATTTCGCCAACATAGTCGAAACTTGGGATGGAATGATTGACATATCTAATCTTGACAATCTGACATTGCGGTGATTTAAGAATATTTTTTATAATACTGGTGCATGACACTGCCTCTGATGACCCGCAACGGTCATGTGTACCAATGACATCCAACACATACAAATTGGAAAAACACATCAATTGTTACACGCATTGAGCAGTGCGCACTGCACAATGCGGTGTATCATAAACCAAACGAAAAAATCACCATTCCATTGCTAACGGAAACCCAGCGACCGTTACATCTTTCGGCTGGCCACGGTTATCTCTCGAATGCGGAAGTACGGCACAGTGAGGCGGCGCAGTGTTCACCGCGAGTGCCGCATGTCACCGGTGCCCTCGGCCCGCCGTTGATGTTGGCGAGGTCACGGGCACGTCGCCTGGGTAAGCCTTGGCACGTCGCCTGGGTAAGCCTTGGCACGCCGCCCGGGAGGAGGGCTTTAGCAAGGGACTCACCTGTACCGTCGCGCGGACGCTTGCGCATCTGGACACCCAGCGTGGAGTACGTCTGTTGTTGCTGCGGCTTCTCGCTTTCCACGTCCGCCTGTGGTGCCAAGCGTGCGCACACAGCAATAACAAGCCGCAATTTGCCAATAACTGCCGGTGACGTCGCCACAGCCGTTCGCTAGGTGTGCCCTCGGACCACGTGAAGTGTCTGAGGCTCGCTATACAAGTCACTGGACAGGCTCAGGTGTTGTGGGTTAACTGTCTGAGATGATCAACATGCACACATTCATTCATTACTGTTATTTAAGGCCAGGTAAGGGCCCATTGGGCTGTACCGTGGGTAGCAGAGGGTGGTGCAAAACTCCTTTTGTTGTACTATACACTACTTCTATGCTCCCATTCCGATGTTCCCCCACATTCACCAGCCCAAACTGTTTTCATTGACGATTATTGAACTCATGTTGGGCATCAAGGGACTCTCCATCTAGATGTATTAGCTGCAATATGAGAGCTGTGGTGGGTATTTTTATGGATCTGTGTCTTCATGCACCACCTATGGCCAAATGACCTGGAATGCACCCGATCTCGTCAGACATCGAAACCGTAGCCGAGTTGAGCCTGGATTCTGCTTGGATGGGTGACCCACCAAGTACAAATAGGTTGTCATAGGTGGCTGAGGGGCTAGGTGGTGGGGAGGAGGGAGAAGTATGACAAAATACAGTTGTACTGTACTTCTATGCTCCTGCATCTATCCCCCGCACTGATGAGCGTGGTGAATTATGGTCAATCTATAATCCTGATAACTGATTGTAATGCATATTGTGAAATATCAACGTAATTTTTATTTTATTTACTATTTTTTACCAGGTAAGGCCCATTGAGCTCTATAGCTCTTTTTTCAGAAGCGACCTAGCCACAGATGATAGCTAAGTGAAATGGCTTATCACGTGGAAATTTATAGCACCCAAATACTCGAAATGCATGTCTTTTCATGTGAAGGGAAAAATAGCAGGCCCCAGATAAAAAAAACATGCGACCACGGGGAGAACGTGCAAACTCCAAATATGAAGACGCCAGGGTCGGGATCGAACCCACAACCTCATATACTAGGCGAGGTACTATTGTACCTTGATACACAGTATTGTATATGGAATGGTATTCTGGTATTGCCAAATTTAAAATTATTAACACCGTGGCACAAAAGGGTTAGAATGTGATATGCCTTGGGGCTGCCTATATTAATGTAGGCAGCAGCTTGGTAATGGGGAATGCAATTGTTTGGTGATTATGTGCAAATTTAGAAATCTGGCCACAGTCACAGGTTGTCCAATTCACGTTTTAGTTTTAGATATGGTCCATTTTACATTTTCGAAAACTGTAAAATCTATAGGAAATATGTACGAATATTTTACACGTAGGCTTTCACAACCAATTTTATCCGTAACGTTTTTTTATTTAGATCGCATACATAGTTCGGAATCCACATGAATGAGCTGGTAATAGAGGCCCATTTGAGACGATTTTTAGGCCCAAGAATTGGTAATGTACATACATAATGTGCATTATGTTTGTTAATTAACTGCATAACCCAACTAATAACAGATATCCATTGTAATTTATATGGACTACATTAACCCCCCTCTGGCTTTCACCTAATTGGCTCAAGTGACGACATCACGTTTATCCCTATGTTTAGGACTGAAACGGGAGGATTTATCCATAATTCTGGCTGTCGCCTGTATTGTATATGGAATGGTATTCTCGAATTATAAATGTTGTGGGTTTACTCTCCAACACACCGGTGTGCTGAACTAGTAACGAATTGGCACGTTTTGTTTGTGACAAACCTTAAAAATTGGCCCTGTCGGGTGGTGGTGGGTTTAACAACACATTTATAATTACGCAATTTAACCCAAAACAAACCTACGGCTATACGAGTGTTTTTGTAAGGACATACATCCTACTCATTAACAGAATAAAAAATCCAAATAAGCTGCACTTGATGGATTGTATCCAATTACAGGCAGTCGTTATCACAACGGTACTGTCATGCATTTAATCGGAGTGAATAACACCAAGTATAGTGGCTCTTAAATAACAACAATGCCATATTGTAAAACGTCGAGTTATTCAAGATTAGAGTAATCCAAATATATTCCAAGTTATTTCTCCCACTGGTGCCAAACGTTCTCTGGATGTGTCCTGAATCTGCTTCAAACACAACACTTGCACACCTCCTAATAAGCAGGGTTTAAATTCAGCTGGGACCAGCTGGGTTTTCTGGCGACTGCTAAAATATTTACAGACCCAGCTCACCACATGCAGTATACCTCAAGTTAAGGATGCTCTGGCTACAACTAGAGTCAGGTGCCATGCACTCCAGTCTACCAGCAACCTACAAAATATATCTGCACCTGGCACACCAAATCCAGTATACGTCTCTGTGGTTACTCAAGAAAAGATCCTGCTTTGTTACCTCTTCCTCTGGCTCTGGGTCCGAGTCAGTTTCCTGAAGTCCGTGCCGGCAGGGGTTTTGGTGACGGGGACAGGGTGGGTGGAGTTGAGGAGCGAGGAATACACGGAGGAAAGCTCACTGTGCAGCAGTCACCAGTTACAGAACCCCTACACACAGGCCTCGCCAACAAGGTCTCAAGGCAAATGAGATGATGGTGCGGGCTTAATGGCTACACAAAAAAAAAAGTATTCAATGTTTGCGTCCGGTAACCCGACGCTTACTTGCTCAGATGATCTCTAATCGTAAAATATTAACGATCGTTACAGTCTCGTCGTCCCCACCATTGTGACACAGGTTTCAGATGAGGGCAGTCTTTAGGTTGCGAACTTCATATTGTGTACAGCCATTGCACCGCACACATCTTTTCATTTATGAGTCTGAAAATAAATTGCAGGCCTCGGGGGATATGTTTAAGTGGCTCAGGGATCAGAGCAAAAAGCCTGCACCGCTGAATTCCAGGGCTTGAATCTGGGTTTCAGTCGCCAGCGATTAAACCATATTTTCAATAACTGCACAAACCCATCATTGTTATATTGAAAACTAATTTGTTTTAGAACTGCTTTTTGTGTTTAGTTTGTCCTTCCCCGCACCTACATACGGTGCGGAAGACGTTCTACATACGTTTTAAATCAGGTTTTCACTTAATTTGGCTAAACTCCAGCTCTCCGCAGGACATATAAAAGACCTCGAGTGACATCGGAAGCAGTTCTGCGGCGCCACTCTCTCGCACAGGCTGCTGCTGCACCAATAGGTGTGGGAGCTCCAAGTGGACACTATACCAATTTGATGTAACACCAACGGCATAATTGTGAAAACCTACAATTTTAAGGGACAAATAATTACCGCTAAAATTATGTTTTTTTTATTCTCAGAGCCAAGTGTTAGGAGAAACAACCATTTTTACAATGCGATGTTATTTTCTTAAGCTCCGTACATTGAACAGACAGACACGCACCTTCTTGTACGGTGGCAGCATGATGTTGAGGTTGCACACGGCCGCCTGTGGGAGGCCCCGTGCCGTCTTGGCGTCCTTCATGAAGCAGAGGCGTCCGCAAGCCTCCTGGTTGCTGTCTCGTATCTGGTCGCGGGCAAGCATCCATTCAAGCAGCACTGACTCGTAAAAACAAAGACCAAGGTATGCAGCCTTGCAGTCGCTTGGGTACCACTGCTGCTGCCAGAAGAGCTACCACAAGAGGGAGCTCGCATCGGAGTATTACTCGAAACACTTTGTATGTGCATATGCCATTCTGTAAGCTGATGGCGTGTAGCCAGGCTGGCGATTCGGTGTGTGTTGGTGCCTGTGCCCCAGCGGTGCACCTTGACCATGAAGGGCAGCCTGTTCTCGCGGAACGCGTAGAAGGAGAGGGCGTGCTGCTGCCCCGCCTTGGTGAGAGGGACCAGGTTGCCGAAGCACTCCACATAGATGGGTTTACCCTCCAGCACCTACAAACAAAAAAAACATTCATGCGTGCGGACACAGGCAAAAGAAAATGTCGTTGGCCGTTCGGCGGTGATGTCACCACAACGTTTGTGCCGGGCTGCGCACTGTGAAGTGCCGAAGATTTGCAGGAGGACATGGGACTGGACCAAAATACGAGTTGACCGACTGAGATGATGGGAAGATGCACTGCTTTTACACCCCACTGCACAAACTTCGAGTGTTTTTAGCAGCCCGGTGCTCTGCACATTGTTGGGAATATCGCTCCTCTGACATCAAAAGTTTCTAGAGGGCGATTGTCCCCAACTTACGAGTAGCATCCTTCGTGAGCCTCCTCCACAGATATTGATTTTGACACCACAGGTACCAATCATTGGGAAAGTTCGCTGCACTCTAAATCCTTCCATAGCATATCAGCCCATCTCTTCTCTATCCTGTGCTGCACTCATGTCGCTGCTGATAACCAGTCAGACAGAAGCTCCCTTGGCATGCACGCTGCCAATGCAACCTTCCCTGCTCGAGAATCTCAGATAGGTGGACAATCAGATCTTTCAAGAATTTGTGAGCTCCTTGCCCAATCCATCCTGGTTAAACCCTGGTTAAACCCAGGATTGACCGTGGGCAGGCCAGCCTGAGGTGTTCCACGTTTCGCAAGCAAAGGGAAGGAAGGCCGTGATTACGGCCGTGATTATGGCCAAGGAAGACCTGGAGCTTCGTGTGGAGCGACAGGCCAGTGTTCAGCAGTGTATCGTGCCACGGTGGCGAGATGTTAACTAACTCGCCTGATGTACAGGAGGTCGTGGATTCGATCTCGACACTGACACCTGTATATTTGGAGTTTGCGTGTCTCTGTCCCCGTGGTGGTGTGTAGTTTTCTCCGCGCCCTCCGGTTTTTCCCTCCATTTAAAAACATGCCTTTTAAGAGTATTTGGCTGCTGTAAATTTCCAAATGATAAGCCACTTCGTTGAGCTATCACTTGTGGCCAGGTCGCTTTTGAAAATAGCTACAAAGCTCAGTGGACCTTGCCTGGTAAAATAAAAATAGTTTACAGTTTATTTTTTTTCATAGTTTTATGTACCTCGACATCGCGGCTGCGTGCCATCTCGCTGAAGTTCTCCTGTTGCTCCAGAGTCTTGTCCACTTTGTCGTCCGTCATGCAGAAGCAGCGCAGCCGCGCCTCCACGGGGTCGTGCGTCTTGGCGAACACCACAAACTTGGCCATGTATGGCACGCACACAAGCTCGCGGTACATCTGCGTCGTGAAGTTCACCGCCTCGTGCGTCTGCCGGCAGTCGATGAGCCAGAACCTGTCGGACACGCGTGCGCATGCGTGCACGCACGTACGTACACGTTCGCGTGTGGTCACATGTACAATTAAAACATGCACACAAGATAAAGATCCTCCATACAGCCTTAATACACTGTTGGGACAAGTGCTGTTAGCTGGTAGCACATATGAAGGCTGCCACAGCACACCAAAGGGTGGGTGACCAGCACCACACCTGACTGCATTTGTCTCCCGAGTGGCGATGTTTACACATCGCATCAGCTACTCATTTGAGGCCGAGTTGACCTAGGAGAGGCCCAGGACCGGTTCAGATAATCGTCACTGGTGTTTGCCGTGAGCAGGAATCGAACGTGGGTCACCAGGTTCGTAGCGCAGCGCGCTAACCGCTCCACAACATGCACACGCATCCAATGACAACTCCAGAAGGGACCAAGTCAGTCGGTGCCTCTCGTGGTTCGGTCTGAGCAACTGACCTGGCAGAAACGTTGGTGGTGAAGGAGACACACTGCTTGGTGAAGGTGAGCGGCGTGGTCCCTGTGATATCTTCCCACTGCGCGGGCGCCGTGCCACCTGTGAGCGTCATCAATGTCAGCATTATCTCCACAGCGCACTTTTCACAACACTCGACGGGTTGTGCAAGTTCATAGAAAGTATTTAAGGATTCCCATGCATCGCCCTGTTTCGACCATGGTGATGATATTTTTAATCCTGATTTTGTTGACAGGGGGAACTGCTTTTTGTGTTAAGTTTGTTACCCTTCGCCCGTACCTCCGATTTAGCATGGTTGGCTACGTACGGTTTTAAGGAAGTTCAACATACCAATTATGAAAGTCTTAAAACGCAGATGTGAAGATGATGACTTTATAATGATGGGTATGGTAATATTGATTATAATATTGATAAAATGGCAATGATGACATTGATAACTGTTATGATATTGATAACGAAAGGCAATGATGGTAACGTTGATTACAAGGATATTGATATTGACAAGCATGGTGATATTCATTTTAACGATAATGATGTTGATAATGTTGGTACGTTAATTATAACTGATGATACTGATTATGATGGCAATGATGGCGATGAGCAGGATCGCGATGATTACAGCAAGCATGGCAAGAGCACCCGCTGCACCTGTGATGCTGCACAGGAGGCGCAGCGTGGGCATCTCTCCTCCCGCGGTGCCCAAACCGTCGCTGGCGGAGCGCGGCACGGGGATCGTCATGGTGATGGGCTTGTGGAACTTGCGTCGGCGCGGCTCCAGCGTCACGATGGGGCTGAACGCCGCCTTGTTCCCCAGCACCTTCTGGACCAGCGCCTCGGGGATCGGCTGTGACTGCACGCGGCGCACAAGCAAGCGAAAGAGCGCGCAAGGACAGCGAAGGTGAAGCTAGATGTAAAAGGGGCAGCCCTGCGCTGATTCGCTAATGCTACTGCTGGCGTATGGACCTCGCCTAAAGAGATGGAGGCCCTCTCCATTGTATTTGGCCTACTCCTCCACGCTGGCCAGCTGGCTTGAGCGAGTTGGGAATGCTCACATTCCACCACGCGCAACCTGCCGATCGACTAACGATGATCTACCCCCTATATTGTATTCCACTGCCCCTCCAACAGACAGAAGATGACCGTTGGATTGCAAGTCCAAAGTGTTGACCGTGCCACTATAGCAGCATGCATGTACGTTGAACTTCTTTCGCACTGTATGTAGCCAACCACGCTAAACGAAGGTGCAGAATGAAGCTCAGTGGTGCTGTGTAAAGTACAGTGAGCCTCGACCTAACAAGGGCGGATATTGTTTAAAAAATGTAAAGTCGCGCGCACTCCAAGTTAAAAAATTAAAGCGTTTCAGAGCCGACTTGTTATCTGCGTCTCACACTTTGCGTAGACCCAGGGGGTAGTCCTGGACTCGATAGGGCGACGAGGTGGCAACCCCCAGAGCGAGAGCGCGGACCGGCGTTCTTTTACAGAAGCAACTCGACCTGCGACCTCTCACCTGCAGGCCGACCTTGATGCGCTTGGTGAGGGAGCCCTCGGGGAAGACGGCCTGCACCTGGGGCGTGATGGCGCTGCTTAGGACACCGCCCTCGGGCCCCACGAGGCTGCTCTCCTGGCGCACGCGCGACACCACCGCAAAGTACTGCGGGAAATCGCGCGTCACGATGCGACAGATGCGCTTGCGCTCCAGCTCCTCGGCCGTGTCCAGCTCTGAGCGGAGTAGGGGGAGACCGGGGCATGAGGACCGTACCAAACAAAATTTTTTTTTTTTTTTTTAAACCAAGGGCCTATTCTTAGCTCTTTCGGTAAAGTCACGTTGAAGGGAAACAATAAAATATATATAAAACAATAAAAATTCTCACGACGTTTCGACCATAACACAAACGGTTGTCATCAGGTGTGAAAAAACCAACGGCAAGAAACACCTGATGACGACTGTTTGTGTTATGGTCGAAACGTCGTGAGAATTTTTATTGTTTTATATATATTTTATTATTTTATTGTTTCCCTTCAACGTGACTTTACCGAAAGAGCTAAGAATATTAATTACTGCAGTCACAAAAGCTTTAAGTCAAAATTCAAGTAAGGGCCACTGAGCTATATAGCTCCTTTTTCAGAAGCGACCTGGCTCTCCCAAATGATAGCTCAACGAAGTGGCTTATCGTGTGGAAACGTATAGCAGCCAAATAATATGAACGCATGTTGATTCCCAAGAAAAAAATCACCCAGATAACAAAGACTACAATACACACGCATCTGTATACCGCCAGCGACACACATGTATGCACCTACAAAAACAAACACCTCCCCTCTATAGCCATACAGACTGTTGGGGGTAAGTGCTGTTAGCGAGCAGCTATGAAGGCTGGCCAACACCACACCCGACCGCCTTTGTCTCCACAGTGGCGACGTTTACACATCACACCAGGTATTCATTCAAGGCTGAGTAGACCTTGGGGAGGCACACGACGCGTTAAGATCAATTGTCGCCGACGCAGGTTGGGTGTAATTGACGCAGGGTTCGCCAGGTTCGTAGTGCAGCGCGCTATAACCACGCACGCTACCGCTGCCCACACGCCAGCACGCGAGTCCGCACCCTCGTCCATGCCGTTGATGATCTGGTTGAGCTCCTCCTCGGAGCACTCCGACTGGTGCTCGCGCCACGTCTCTCCGTTCTCGCTGCGCAGCACCACCAGCTCGCGCTCCTTCCCACGCAGGGACGCAAAGTGAGGGATCTCCACGATCACCGGCCTGGAGAATCGGTGGGAGAACGGGGGGGGGGGGGGGGGGTTGGAGAGCAGCAGCAGTTATGGAGAGGAATGGGTGAGAAGAAGAAGCCAAAATCCCTATCCGGATGCAGCCCAACCAGGAGATTTACTGTAATAATACAAATCCCATCTACTTCTGTCAACAAGCTACTTTCTGTACTGCTTGTTTTTAAAGACACACATTGGTTAACATGCAGCAGCATCGCTACCAGAACGTACAACTTCCCAGAAAATGTAAACATTAAAAAAACTGTTTCTTTACTTCATGTTTATTTTGTTTACCAAGTATATTTTTTAGAGTAGCTGGCCTGGGGATACCTGGTGAGTCCCTCCGGTAAATTTAAACTCCAGTTTATTGGCAGTTGCCTAATAATATCCCAGTCAAGACAACTTATGCACGTATAGTTCCCCCCCTCCCCGCCCAGTAATGAGAGATACTCCTCTCCTTCCCACGACATGTCCCTTTGTGTATCTCGCAGGTGATGAGGGAAGGAGATGTGGGGGAAAGGATGACGTATGTATGTTGAACTTATTTCGCACCGCACGTAGTCAACCATACTAATCAGAGGTGCGGGGAAAGACAAACTAAACACAAAAAGCAGTTCTAAAGAAATTCGTTTTCGACCTAGACTTAAAAGTGCATAGCTCCAGTGCCTTCCTAACATCTGAAGAGCGTTCCAAACGATCGCAGAAGCACATGTGAATGCGCACTATGCAGTGACCGCCTTCGTCCGATAGCTAGCCAAAACCGCTGCTGCAAGGATGACCAGAGTTTGCGTGATGGTTTATGCTCCTTGGCGAGATCAGCGAGGCGTTGTGTTGTGATGTTCGCGGGAGGAAGGGGTCAGTGGGAATGGGTTTCCTACCCGAGGAAGGTGGTGCCGGGTGGGCCCAGCTGCAGGATTCGACTAACGAGGCTCTCCCCGTCATTGAGCGGGGGAGGGGTGTTAGGCAAGTGCAGTTTACTGAGCACAGCCCAAGTGGTCCCCCCGCACGCGTGCAGTGGGAGACAAAAAGAAGACAGCGGGGTAGGTGGACACAGGGAGAGGAGGGAACAGAGGGCGGAAAGAGGGCGAAACAAAGGGTGGAGGAGAGGCATTGAAGGGGAAAGAGGCAAGGGTCATAAGAAAGGAGGTAGAAGGCAGACGATGAGTGGGGTACAGGCAGAGGAAGGTGGAGATGTTGGGAAGGTAGAGGAATGGTATAGATGGGAGGGGAGTAGAGATTAAAACATGGGGGGAGCGAGACAGAAATGGATGGAAGAGGAGGGGCAGAGGACAGGGGAGAAGATGATATGGAGAGAGATAAGCAAGGATGGGGAGAAGGAGATGCAAAGGCACAGGGTGGGACATAGATGGAGAGGTCGATTGGGAAGGAATGGTACAGGTGAGGGTAGAGGGAAGAAGAAAGTGGGAGAGAAAATAGTAGAGGTAGGTGGAGAAGAAAGTAGAGATTACAACACAGGTGGAGGGAGAAGGACAGGCACGTGGGGAATACAAATAAAAAGAGACACCGTGATCCAACATCCGTTAGTTAGCACATGACACAGGAGAGAAATGTTAGAAAGGTTCACGCAAAAAGCATGACTTGCGGTGAACTTTGCTCTAAAGCCGCGGAAGCATTTGAAAGGGTTGAGTAGCGAAATGCGGAAATTAGACAGGCAGCAGGCTCTACGTGAAAACTGTTTAGGATGGCCAAGAAGCAATTTTACCAGATCTCAGTTATTGAAACCTCCACCAATGGGTAAAGTACACAGACAAACTAAATCAGAGTTTAATAACAAATAAGTATTCAATAATCGGCAGCCTGAAAAAATATATCGTTTAAACATTAATTTCCAGCCACGTAAAACAAGACCTGACCCTCTAAAGACACAACAAACCCATCTATAATCTCAACATCCAACAATGCACCATGGTGGCGAGGTGTTAAATACCTCGCCTGGTATACAGGAGGTTGTGGGTTCGATTCTGACTGACGCCTGTGTATTTAGAGTTTGCGTGTCTCTGTCCCGTGGTCGTGTGTTTTTCACGGGGTCCTCTGATTTTTTTTCTCCACATTTAGAATCAATGTGTAATGAGAGTATTTGGCTGCTACAATACATTTCCACATGATGATAAACAACTTCGTTGAGCTTTTATCCGTGGCCAGGCTGCTACTGAAAAGATAGCCCAAACAGCTCAGTGGGCATTAACCTGGTAAAATAAAAAGTTTAGTTTAGTCACGCAAACAAAGCTCGGATCTGGCAGTGCTGCTAGCCCACAACGGGAGGCGGCAGGGGTTGGCACTGAGTGGCGCCACTCACCCGAGGAACTGGCCCCCAGACGGCCCGACCTCAACCACGCGGCTCGCCAGGCCCTCGCCCTCCAGCACGGGCGGCAGCGCGGCCAGCCGGTGGCGCTTGACGAGGCGGCAGGTGACGCGCGTAGGAGCCATGCACTTGCGCGGCGGGATGACGATGCGGAGGCCGTGGTGGCGGCAGCCGCGCATCGACCCTCCTCGCGCGTCCACCATGAAGCTCACCAGGAAGCTGCGCGCCGGTCGCGTTTGCGTCATCGTTATCATCGTTGTATTCACAGCTTGGTTTTGATACTTTACATGAGGTGCGATATCTATAAATGACGCTATTTTATCCACTACTGGATGAAGGCTTCGCTAAGCCGCCGCTGTCTATCATGGCATGGTGATGCAATGATTATTCATCTAGCTCTTGCATGCAAGCAGGATTTCATCATACACTCTCTGTGATCGATGTCCTCTTGGGCAGGTTCCCTCCTTTTGCTGCCAGTCGGTAGTTAAGTATCTCCCACCCGACATCATCCCTTCTAGCTTAGAATAGAACCCAGTCTCTCCATCGTTTTCCCAAGCATTCATTTGCGTGTGCTTCTTTATGTAATTCCAGATTTTGTTTGACTTTGTCAATGGCTACGTTTCTGATCCATGTCGAAGCAGGTGATGTACACTGATTTAAGACATTCTTCCCAAGGTGCCCCAAACTCATTATAATTCAAATGCCATTATATTTATTAATTAGATTAATTATAGAAATGCTGCTACTCTTGTCGTGTACCTCTGATAGATATCTTCTACTGTTCGATTCCTCACCACGGGTAACATTTATGGCGTGCGACATCTTAACTGGCACCGGGCAACCCCCCTTCATCAACATGCACTGCCCAACGTGGTGAAGAACAGTAAAACAATCGCCCAAGCCAACACGGCAGTGGGCCGGGAGGCCCTACGTTACAATACGTGTGGGCGCGTGTGTGTAGTATGCGTTGGGTTTCCGAGGAACAATGTGACCCACCCGGAGTGGATGGGGCTGGACGACAGCGCCACGTTGTCCAGGATTTCAATGGGTGCCCAACTGGTTGGCATCCCTCCCACGCCTTTTTCCTCCTCCTCCTCCTTGGGTGCGGCCAGCTAGACGAAGCGGCACAGCGCATTTCCCGAATCGGCGACACCGCTCGACCCGACCTCCCGCCCACGTCCCGGTGCAGCGCCACCGTTCGTCTCCGCAAACCACTCCACCCCTCAACGCTGCCCACCCCGCTCCACCGCACCCTTCACCGCACGCTCCCCAGTACGTTCCTCACCTGTGTGATGGTGGTGGCTGCGGTGAACTCTTCGATGAGCGTGGCCTCGCGCGAGTAGGGGCCCCGTCCGAGCGAGTACGACCTGTCGGAACTGAACGAGCGGAGGCTGAGCAGTTTGTATTTTTGTGCGTGTGACCGCCCATCCATCGACACCGGCCGGGAGGAAAAAATAAAATAAACCCGTAAAGCACGTGAGCGTTGGTCACCATTGTGGGGATGGATGGGAGCGGATTGCAGGAGTGGAGGAGCCAAGGGTTTTTTTTTTGTTGTATCCATGGGTCAGGGTAGGGAAAGGGAGAGATGGGATGGAGATGAGAGGGGATGTTGTCACGGTAACCAGGATGAGGATGGAGGGTGCAGGAAGGACCAGGTTTCCATGGTGGGCCGGGGCGAGGGATGCGAGGACAGGGGTCGTTTCCACAGCAACCGGGTGCACGGAGGAAGAAGCGGGAATGTTGGCGTTTCCATGGAAACCAAGCAGGTGCGGCGGCACCGGCGAGACGATGGAACGAGCACGGTAATGGGGGATGGATAAACAAAAACAAACAAACAAAAAATGATAGCGTTAGCAAAAAAAAAAATGGGCATGGCAAGTGGCACAAACAACATTGCCGCCTCTCAACAAGACTCGACAAAATGAAATCAAGGCATGGCATGTCATGAGAGGGGAGGCCGGGGCAAGCGGTAGGGGAAGCTGTGGTAACGGCTGGTGCGGTGCAGGAGCGAGCAGAATGGTGAAGCGAGCGCTGGCTTACCTGGTGATGGTGCTGCATGAGGCAAGGGAATGGAAAACGTCGGAGATAAATGGCGCACGTGGAAAGAGGGCTTTGCAGCGTGAGAGTGAATGCGAAGACGCGCGTGGTGAATTTTCCGCTCATTGATTTTGGCGCAAATTGTTTTCTGGGAAAGCTGTTACCGGGGCTGGCCACGAACAAAAGCAGAAAGTGCCGTCTCAGACGCTGTAACGTTCTTTTCACAGATGCTTCAACTGCCTGGCTGCAGAATAACTGCTTACACAGGCTTCATCCGGGGGGAGGGGTTCTCTTAGTTTCGTTCGTATGCACTGTCCAATGGGGTCAATTATGGTCAAACATCACCCATGACATCACAGCAGTGGGGAAGGCCTTCATCCAGCACTGGATTTATGAAGGGCCGAACATTACTCCAGTCACATTTCTTGTTAGGCTCACTGCGGTGAGCTATCATTGCCTACAATGGCCAATCGCAGGGAGCCACAATTATCGTTTAAAATTACTTTTAAATATTTAAGTTACAGATACAAGAGCGCTTTTATGATGACCACTCCTTTCTTATTATTTTTACCTTTCGCATGCCTTATTTTACTCGTGGCAATGTGGAGGCCAGATAATTTACGTCACAGGCCCAATGCTATTAGCCACGCAGTCAAGATGACTGGCGCAACGTGGTTCTGGTCACATGACAGCGACAATTATGACAATTGAAATAATTAGCGGTGGTGGCTGCATTGTATGCGTCGACGGTGGAGTAAGCGATATATAATTATATTTATTAATATACTTCACCTGGACAATCCCTTAACATCTCGTCGATTGACACTCGCGTAGCAAGCGCGTAGCATGCGCGTAGCAATGACACGTGTACAAACATTTGAAATCGACAGGGAAATAATAGTGGCAATGGCAGCGAAAGTACAATAAGACATCAAGTGCAGCTTGAAAGACAATTGTGAAATGCTCACAAGCAACGTTGAAACAGAAGTGCTGGTCTCGGACGGTGTATGGGGACGGCGGTGGCGTTGGTGGAGTTTGTAAGCAGCGAGAGGGGGTGGCAGCCGTACCTTCCGGAGCGTGTGGCCCAGTTGCCGAAGCCCATGCTGTAGCCCGTGCTGCCCTCCAAGAAGTGGCTCGAGGGCAGGGAATCGTCTCCCAGCTCACGCAGGTCCTCGGCCCTCAGGTACTCCATGCCATCGCCCGTCATCGTGTCCTCACCTAGCAACCAGGGAGCCACAGAAACACGATTGCCGCGGCAAAACCATCATTATCGCCAAGGCAATAACGTCGCCGCAGTAATGTTGACACCGCCACGGCAGCACCACGGCAACATTGTCAGTGCAACGCCGCCACTGCCAGGGCGACGTGACCGTTGCCAAGGCAAAAGTACCATCACCATAGCAACATTATACCTTGATGGCAACATCAGCATTGCCATGGAAAACACCACCATTGCCATGGCAACATCACCACCTCGACAGCAACATCATGGCCATGGCAACACCATCACCACGTAGAATACGGGTTTTCCGTGCAAGATGTTTCAAAGTCAGAATGCAACAGCGCCAAATCTAATGATGTTAAATTTATGGTATGATGCTTGCAGCTGTGTGCACTAGCAAGTCTCTAACAATGGATCGGAGCTAGTTTGGTTGATCTGGTGGGCTGGAAGCAAAGAAGTATGGCATGGAGTACTCCCATCCTCACGTGATGATGTGAGGATGGGAGCGGGGAGGTGGGGTGTGATTCATGAATTGCTTAAAAGCTCATGATGTACGATTGTGACGATGTTGTATAATCATGAGCAGCTGATTTCACTCCTGAGGATTTTGAGGATGTCCTGAAGATTTTCTGTTGGACGCTCTGCTTTGTCGTTTTAGTGATGGTTAGTTGATCACTGCTTGTTGTTCTCGCATCCCCTCCGCCAAGCAAGTTCGTAAAGCACTGGCCCCAAGAGAAGCACAACCGGTTCGCGCCGCGATAGACCAGGGCAATTTTATGGAAATTGTTAATCATTGCCGGCAACTGTCAACCAGTGCGCAACTACGGCAACTTGGTGTGGAAACCGTTTTAAAGAGCACGGATTCTTCAGATATAATATCCCGGTGGGACATGCAGTTAAATTAACGAGTGCCATATGTAGTCACGTCACGCGTACACGTGTTATGATGTCACACGGCGTTGTGACATCGTAAAGTCTGTAGGTGTGACCACTTAGCTGTGACCCTTATCTCCATTTCTCTCCTTAATTTTGCCTCGCTCATCTGTATCTCTTCATGTCTCGACGAGCCACGTCTCTTGGAGAGCCATCGCTAGGCCCAACTACTCCGGGAGCCTTGCGGTCTACAGACTGCAAGTTTATGAATAACCAATGCAAAGTGTTTGTTGGAAAATCGTCTGATGGAACACTGATTGGTCTCCAGAGCACACAAGTGGAGTAAGTCACATGACCTCTGTGTGTGAATTGATTAAAAGTTGCATATCCCAGTTGCCTACTCAATGGGGTAGAGGACCAGATTTGGGCGACAGAGTTTTTTTTTTACGACAGAAAATGATGCTAAAACTATTAAACTAAACCTTTTTTTTTATTTTACCAGGTAAAGCCCACTGAGCTATATAGCTATTTTTTCAGACGCGACCTGGCCATAAATGATAGCTCAACGAAGTGGCTTATCACATGGAAATTTATAGCAGCCAAATACTCGAAAACACATGTTTCTAAATGTGGAGATAAAAACCGGAGGACCCGGAGAAAAATCCACGTAGAGACATCGACTCCATATATATAGCAGACGTCAGGATCGGGATCGAACCCACAACCTCCTGTATACTAGGCGAGACGGTTAACATCTAGCCACCTGTTTGGCGCAACTGTTGCCGGCAAACAATTTCCCTAAAGTTGCCCTCGTGTGTCGCGGTCTTAGGGGCAGCTCAGGAGCAGAGAGAGCCAAGAGAAACCTTTGCAAGCCGGAGCGAGAAACCGTGCAGCAGTGGTGGCGTAGCGCTCCAAACGTCAACTTCGCTTCCAGACGGCATCATCCGGGACAAAGAAATTCCCATTCAGGACTCTCGCTGAAATAACTGCGTCATCGACCATTACATAACGGCCAGCGGTATTGTTATAAACATTACAGGAGTGCATACTCTTTGGTTCTACCGGTAAAGTCACGTAGGTTGAAAAGTAAAACAAAATGAAAATAATATATCACGACGTTTCGATCGCAACACAAGTGGTCGTCCTCGGGCGGAAAAAGTAATAATCCAGCAGTGGAACTGCTGAACCAGCGAGAGAGCCGTTACAACAAGAGCTTATTTATTTTGTTTTACTTTCAACCTACGTCACTTCACCGAAAGAACCAAAGAGTATTACAGGAGTGATCGCAATGGCACTCCATTCTTTTGCCGCACATCAAAGAACTACTTCAGATATCACTTGAAATGTCGCTCGTACACGGTAACTGCTGTAATTGTTGACACTGCCCCTGCTAAACGTGTGTTCGGCGCATGGTAATGGAATTATTATTTCTTGTAATCGTCAGAATCGGATTTTTTTTTCTGAATTGACAATCAAATTTAATATGAAAATGGCCAAATATGCTAGTGCAGGAACCTACAAAAAGACGCGAGACTCTGTGAGGCCTTTCTGAGTAAATAACAATGGTATTGTTATAAACATTATAGCAGTGATGGAAATGTCACTTCATTATTTTGTCGCACAGCCTGGGACACACAGCCTAGGTGCTCGCCTACAATATCAGAGCTGTTCGTTTCTGTGGGTTGCGTCTTAAATTGAATTCACAGCTGACGCTCTGAGATCACCGCCAGGGAAGGGGTAGCCTTTTCCACGGAGCTTGTTGCTCAATAATAAAGCCCAGTGCCATTTTGGCCACAGCCTTCCAGCCATGTGTTTCTGGAAAATGGCGAGTCCTAGTGTGGAATTTCGTGGCATTCTGAAACTGAGAGTTATGAGACGCCACAGGTTACAACACCACTGCTGAAGAGAGAGAGAGAAAGAGATCCCGCGCCAAACCCCCAACAACCAAGTACCTTCTTCAGGCTCTGAAATATACTCCCCATCACTGACCCTCTCTGGCACAGAGATTTTACGCTCTAAACAGCAACAAGAACAGGGCGTTACCAACACAAATAAATTACATTGTTTAAATAATAATCAAGAATATCACTTGCAAAAAAAGAATCGTTGAAAACTGAAGCAAATAAAGTTTCACGTTCATTCAAAAGGCATCAAATAAAAATGAGTGCAACAAAATTAACGTGAACTGAAAATAACGCGATGTGTGTGGCGGTGCGTGTGCGTGTGCGCGCACTTATGGATCAATCGTACTGCGTGAATGCAGTACCTTCATCGTCGGACACCTCCAGGACTTCTGTCATCGTCTCTGGCACGTTCAGTTTGTGTTTCTCTGTGATTGTCTATACGCACACATACACAGACGCACACACACAAACACAAACGCATACAGATATACAACAAAGACAAAGATCCCCCGTATAGCCTTAACAGACTGTAGGGGCAAGTGCTGTTAGCGAGCACCTATGAAAGCCGGAACGGCACACGAGGGGGTGGGTGGCCAGCACCACGCCCGACCGCCTTTGTCTCCCCAGTGGCGATGTATACACACCACACCAGGTACTCATTTCAGGCTAAGTCGACCTAGGGGATGCCCAGGACCGGTTCAGATAATCGTCACTGGTGTTGGCCGTGAGCGGGAATCGAACCCGGGTCGCCAGGTTCAGTGCGCAGCGTAGCGCTAACCACTACACCACCGCTCCCCACAGATATACACAGAGACGCACGCACACAGACACGCGCACACAGACACGCGCACACAGACACGCACACACGTACACACACAGGTATACACACAGACGCACACGTACTCAGGGAGGCATGCACGACACACGAAGTGTTAAACGTTAAACCCTCAGCATAAGAAAGAGTAATCATACGAGCTGATTATGTCTTTCTTGCATTCTACATTTGATTACATCACTGTATGAATGTAGCACGCCGGCTGAGCCTTCAACTGTGGTGGGAGGGGGGGGGGGTACTCAGCCCCCCTGCTAAATTCCAGCTCCCCCCTCCACCACCACCACCCCCACTTTCCCTCCCCGTGACGCTGCAGGGGGAGGGCACACACAATCGCCCCGACTGGAGGGGTTGCTCACAGTTGTGGAGGTGATGGTCTCCTCTGTCACGACCTTGAGTGTGTCCACCACCGAGATGTAGCCCAGGCGACGGGCGATGGCCAGCGCTGTGTTCCCGTTCTGGGCAGCGAAGGGGGAAAAATCGGAACAGACGACACACGACTCCGTCACATTATGTTCAAGTGGACGTTCGCGATTTGCTTCGTATTTTTTTCCAGACTGTGTTGCGGCTGTCCCGCTGGCGTCACGCGGCAGGACGGAGGCGATTCCGAACCGGTGAGAAGCGAATCACCTTCCGTCACAACTTGTGTGTTTGTGCGGTATTACGCTGTTATCCACGTGACAATGTATTGATGCCTGTATATTTGGAGTTTGCATGTTCTCCCTGTGGTCGCGTGGATTTTTCTCCGGGACCCCCGTTTTTTTTCCGACCACATTTATAAACACGCATTCAGAGTATTGGGCTGCTATCAATATCCACGTGATAAGCCACTTCGTTGAGCTATCATTTGTGGCCAGGTCACTTCTGAAAAAAAGCTATGTAGCTCAGTGGGCCTTACCTGGGAAAATAAAAATAGAAAAAAATACCGAACTACTGACAGCCACCAGGAGGCGCTACTCACTGCGACCAAAGACTAATTCAGCACCTCGGACAGCGCCCATTTCGCACCCACCCCCGGCCAGTGAGAGAAATGCGCAATTATTGTGCGTCAACTCCAAATATCGACGTATGTTATTTATTTAAAAAGATAACAGCGCATTAAGATTGACTGCCAGATTAACGTAACAATCACAGCAAAAATAGTCACTGCTATTTGTAGGTAACATATTCTTGGGGGTAGATTTAAAATGTAGTGTTGCAGTGCATGATGATGTATTGGGGGAAGGCTTAAGGGAGGGATTTTTTTAGATTCACCATCAGTTTTACAATTGAAGCAAATATTGTTTGCAGATAGTATTCAAACATGAGATTTTGAACTATTCTATTCTTACGTTTAGCAATATGTCCACGAGGTCTGCTAGCCACGTGAGGGATTCAGGAGAGAGTTCATGTCGTTAGCTTTGAACTATGACCTTGCTGGACGGAGGCTTACTGATTTCAATTATATTTCATAGCCCTGCACACGTACCTTGCAGCAGATGGCGCACTTCTGGCAATTCCTTTTAATAAATAGTTTGGCACATGTCGCGGGATTTGGACCTTCGACCCCGTGCTAATGGGCTTTGTGTCATGCGTGCCGGCTGACCTTTGGGTCAAACCCGACTGACCAACGCGACAGAGTGGCCAGGGAGCGATGTAAACACACGTTCAATCACAACCTTGCTCATGAGTCACGGGCGATCCGTCGAGCTTAAATGAGGGCATGATTGATAACCCATGCCTCTAAAGCGGTAATGAGCACAGACTATACATGCCCAAGGTTCTTAGGTCACTGTAATGCTATTATAATGTACATTTAGCCAACTATGCAGATTAATTTGAAAATTGGGTGATACAATTTACTCCGCCACAAGCAATACCAATTTTGACATATCTGTTTCTTTGATTTTTGCTGACGGAGCCAATGATGAATAAAGAACAGCCCAAACAATACTTGCCACATTCACAATTAGCATCACAATATAACAATAATAAATTACAGCCCATTGTCAACCCATTCTTGGATGAAGGTCTTCCCATGCTGTGCTGGTCATGCTTGTGTCTTCAGCCAAAACAAATCACGCTGAACATACCCAATCTGGTAGCATGAATGTGATGTCAGCCACAGCTAACATCAGGTCTCCCTATACGTTGACTCGGCCCTAAATGAGTACCTGGTTGCTGTCTTTTCCACATCAACAAGAGGCAGCTGGACATGGTCCTTGGCTACTTCGCCCTCCTGTGCAACCTGTCTGCCTTATTAGGTTCTAAATAACAATCACTTGCCCCAAACAGCCTGTGCAGGCTGCATGGGGGATCTTTGTCTGTGTGTGTGGGTGGGAGCATCGCCGCGTCACGCACCACGGTGACGTCATTGGGGCGCGCGCCGCACTTGAGCAGCAGATTTACAATGTGCGTGTGTCCCTGCTGCGCGGCCTGGTGCAGTGGGGTGTATCCATTCTGCAGCGTCGCCAGGGGGTACGCGGAAGGCAGAGGGAGAGAGAGAAAACGGAAATTAAATACATGGCTCTGCAACCTCATTACACATTCCCTTGTTGACCGCTTATTTCATTCAATCATTTACTGCGAGGTTTATTTTTATTATTCTTATTCACTACTGGGTGAGCAATGATTGACCCATCAGCAATTCAATTAATTATCCTCATTTCAGGAACCGATTTGATTCATTAATCAATTCTGTTTTGCGTTGCGGTGAACGGTGGTGTCTACAGTATTCGGAGGGGTTAGGAGAACCCATTACGTACAACATCGCTCACTGTCCAGAGGTTGGTTTTCTACCATTAAGTGATGACCTCTGGCATTCATGTATATACATAAAGACTAGAGAAATCTTTAAAAAAGGTCAAGGTGCAGCCCTGCGATTGCTTGCTCACGCCACCGCTGGCAGAAGGGCCTCCACTAGAGGGAGCAGCTCTTGAGAGACCCTCTAGTAGAGGGTATTTGGCCTACTCTTCCACGCTGACGAGACATCTTGGAAGAGGTGGAAGTCCCCACAATTTACCCCACCGCACGTGATCTGCCAATTAACTGTGGCGTCCCCATTTAGACTGCTGGGAGTACAAAAGCGGGAGGGATTTAAGAAGCTTACCCCATTATTTAAATTTAATTGCGACCTCTGTATTGCAAGTCCGAAGGTGCTAACCATTTCACCACGGCGGAAATACAAAAGCTTTGACGATAACGTGCACGGTTCGATGCATCAATAACAATAATAACCGATGGATTGATGCGTTGTTCCACCATTACTCATGACGCGTTTTATAAAAACCCACAAAACCATTCCTGGGTTTATGCATCAGAGCCACTCCCGCGACAACACAGCCCGGCTCCCGCGTAGCGTCCAGCATACCGCACAGCCCACACTCTCATTAAAGCAGCTTTGACCCACTTAATACTGAGCCAGCTTTAAGCGCGTCCCATCTGGGACTCGAACACAGGGCTTCGAAACTGCTGGCACTGTGCTGTGACATAGGCCTGGCTTCACAAAAGATACACAACCACCTTCCACAAATCGTGGGCATTTTAAAAATAAATTAGGTGGAACATGACAAGAATTTCGTGCTATACAGTTGACCGTGCACAGGTGTGTGCGCGCGACCTTGAAAGCAGGTAGTCGCTAAGCGCAATGGTGCTAATTGTTGCCGGACACTCAGTGAAAACCATCGCGCACGCCATCGTGAACTCTATCGCGGAAGCGCTTAAAGGTGCAACCCAAAGTATAAAGAGCTTCCGTCTTAAATTTTGATTTATTATTTTATTGTTTCCCTTTAACGTGACTTTACCGAAAGAGCTAAGAATATAGCTTCCGTCTTGTAAATACCGGGCAATGTAAGAAACTTTGTCCCTCACGATTCGATCAGTAGTCACGATTCAGGGTAACCAATCAAGCATTGGTGAATTTTTAACATCGTGGTATAAATCAGCGCCCCCTACTGGCACACTAACGGCCCGTTTGCGGGCCGTGTGCCAAAGTAGCTTGGTGCCGCACGCTAACAGCTGCCACTGGGGGTACCCTTTCAAACGTGGTGAGATGAGACGTGAGATGAAAAGTGCTCTGAGATGCCCCGGCATATAGAAGGGCACTTTGTCCTCCAAAGCGCCCCTATCTGTGCCTCCCTTACCCTGCGCCGAATCTCGCTCTCTCGCTCCTTCTCCCTTCTCGCTCCCCTTCACTGGAACCAACTCCCACTGCAGCATGCAGAGCAACCATCTTCACTGTCCTGCTTCCGAGTCTCCCTTAAAACAACCCCCATCTCTTCTCCCCAAGCACATACTACTGCTGCTCCCTGCCCCGGCCTGCCAGCTATGACCAGACTTACCTCTACCACTACCCCTACCCATATCACTACCCCAACTGCTACCACTACCGCTACACCAACTCCTCCTAAACCAATGCCACCTGTCCACCGCTCACCCAAAACTACACTACAACTTTGAATAACCCCACTCTTTGTTTCAACTACTATCATCTGAAGTACATTTTTAATAAATGTTGTGAAGCGCCTTGGATTAAGGCGCGATATAAACCTATATAGGATAAGAAAAAATCGTTATTAATACAGCACGTAGGGTGCCTGTGCGGGGTTACACAGCCCCGCTACACACAATATGTCCTTCTAGAGAGGACAGAACAACTTAGAGAGCAGGGGGGGGGGGGGGGGGTTCCCAGTGTCAGCAACCACGGGAGAGAGAATTCCAGACCTTCAGGGGCATCAGAGGAGAGAGAGTGACCATCCACAGTTGAGGGTCTTCCCCACACCGTGCACGCAGTGAGGGTTATTTGACCATACTTCACCACCCTGGTCAGTGCGGGTTGGTACAGGCAGGTAGGAGAAGCAATATCCAGGCTCAAATCCTGCGTAGCTCCTGAGTTCTCATGGGATCAGGTGCATCCTGGGTGATTTGGTCACAGGCTCCCTGCCGTACAGTTTACCGAGTAAACAATGAACGTTGTTCTAACGTTGGGCCAACAATGTTGGTTCAATGGTTCCAACCACATGACAACGTTGGCCCAACATTGGCCCAACATTGGCCCAACATTGGCCCAACATTGGCCCAACATTGGCCCAAAATTGGCCCAACATTGGCATATTAAACTAAAACTAAACTATTTGTATTTTACCAGGTAAGGCCCACCGAGCGATATAGCTCTTTTTAAGAAGTGACCTCGCCACAAATGATAACTCAACGAAGTGGCTTATCATTTGGAAATTTATAGCAGCCAAATATTCTAAACGCACGTTTCTAAACATGGAGGACACGAGAAAAAAATCTACGTGACCACAGGGAGAACGTGCAAACTCCATATATACAGGCATCAGGGTCGGGATCGAACCCACTACCTCCTGTATACCAGTCGAAGGAGTTAACATCTCGCCACCATGGTGCTGGGTAGCCAGTTCAGCGGATGATGGAATTGAATCATGCTACAGCACACAGGACTGTACAAATCTGCGATCAACACGTCCATCACCTTGGTCTTGCTGTTCACATCTGCGCCGTGCTGAAGCAGGAAATTCACCATTTTGATGTTTCCATAGTGGCAGGCCACGATCAGGGGCGTGTAGCCCAACTGCCAAGAGAGAGAATGGAGATTGGGGGGGAGAATACAAATATATACACCACCGTGATCAGACGCTAATGGGGGTCCGTAGTTCTTCACGCCAGTTTTATCAGATTGTTTCAATATGAGAATAATTGAGGCATCCCTATTCTGCATTCCATTTCTATGTAAACAGTTTGCGAACGACTCTGCTAATCTTTCCCCATCTGTTGGCTCCGCTTAATTTTAGCGACGTTCACGGTTATACCAGCTCGGCCAGGGATTCTCGCCTTTTCACACTGTGAAGGGCAGATTTACTTCAATGATTATGATTATTAAACAAAAGCTATCTTGGGAGTACGGTATGAAATTGACATGCATATCAAATAAATGTTGACGTGTTTATTTAATTTGCGGCCGAAGAGCAAAAAAAACTACTTTTCGCTTCACAATCGGGACACCATATATTGGTTTATTTCATCGCGGTAAATGGTATGTGAAATCTCAGCATGAGTGAAGACACCCAACTTTAAAGGCTCCATCGATTGAACAGCTTTGATGGAAAGGACCCATTTCGTCATAAGCAAGCCTCACATCTCAAGTTAAAAGGGAAGGGTCCAAAGGGCCAGAACCGATGCTGGTACCCACTTAAAGTAGCACATTTTAAGTTGCACCGAATTACGTGGTTTAATACGAGTGAATTACTCCATAACCCCACTCAATCCACATGGTTAGCACACATTTTTATGTAATCCACCATGTATCTGGCCTGGGCTCATGGACTAGCAGGGAAGTTGCTGCTGCAGAATTAATATTTTTATTTTACCAGGCAAGACCCACTAGCTATATAGGGCTTTTTCAGAACAACCTGGCCACAAATGATAGGTCGACAAAGTGGATTATCATGTGGATATTTGTAGCAGCCAAATACTCTAAACGCATGTTTCTAAATGTAGAGCGAAAAACTGGGGGACTCAGAGAAAAATCTACGTGGACCACGGGGAGAATATGCAAACTGCAAATATACAGGCATGAGGGTCAGGATCGAACCCACGATCTCCAACATACCAGGCGAGGTAGTATTATAACAAAACACAAATAAAATTCTGATATACAACGTCCAATGTAAATTGAAACTATTTGGTTAAAAAAAATATATATCTTTTTTCACAATCGAAGGGGTTGCTTTTCCGTAAAGCTTGGGTGACGTTGGGACGCGATGCCTCACCTTGGTGGTGGCGTTGACGTGGGCCCCGTGTTTAACCAGGATCTCAGCCACATTCACTTTGTCCTCCTGCGCTGCGAGGTGCAGGGGAGAGAGGCCACTCTGCACACGCACACAGAACCGCAGGAGCACCTCTGTCAAGCGCCATGCTCACGTAGAGGCCTCCCGGGGGCCAGCGCCGACGACACACTCGCTGCACGCGACGTTGATCAGCGCGCCGTGAGGACGCAGCGTAAATGCATTTCCGCTCGTTGCGTGCGACACTTCAGCGGCTCGTCTCGGCTTCTGCAGTGGAAAAATAACCTGGGCCCTCCAGAGCCGATCCGGGTTGGCCCGGCACGACCCCAGTGCGGCACAATGGCACAATGGAAATGATGCACGAGATGGCTGGCGGCAGATACACCACCTGCACTTAACAGTGTGCCAACTTTCTGTGTATTAGCCGCCCGATGCTCGACTCATCGTTTGTGAGCATCGGTCCTCCACCCTTTTTTGTTCTTGCTGGAGGCAGGTTGTCTCCCCGTCTGCCCAGTTGTAGCAGCAACAATAACATCTGCCATTCACCACCAAGTGGCGTCACCACAGAGATTGTGCCAGGCTAAGTGCACTTTGAGGCCACGTGAAGTCTTGAAAGCTCGCTGACAAAGGTCAAGGGACAGACCCAAGTGCCATAGGTTGACTGAACTCACCCTGGTGATGTGGTGCGAGCGAGCGCTCACCTTGGTGATTTGGTGCGAGTGAGCGCATGCTCACCTTGGTGATTCGGTGCGAGCGAGCGCTCACCTTGGTGATTCGGTGCGAGCGAGCGCTCACCTTGGTGATTCGGTGCGAGTGAGCGCATGCTCACCTTGGTGATTCGGTGCGAGTGAGCGCATGCTCACCTTGGTGATTCGGTGCGAGTGAGCGCATGCTCACCTTGGTGGCATGGTTGACGTCGGCGTATCGCGCCAGAAGCAGCGACGCGACATCGGCGTGGCCCTCCTGGGCCCCCAGGTGCAGCGGCGCCACTCCCTGCCGCGTGATGGCGTTGGTCTCGGCGCCGTACTCCAGCAGCGTCGTCGCAATCTCCAGCTGGTCCTTCTTGGCGGCGATGTGCAGCGGCGTGTAGCCGTTCTGGATCGCGCAAGTGCGACGTGTAGACGGGTGGGCACGGCGAATGGGACTTGTGCAGTTTTTACCACCCGGTTATACAAGTGGCGCACCCACCTAAGATTTTGCTTCCCTGCCCCAACAGCCGGAGAAAGGAGTGAGTAGATAGGGGTGCCATGGTGGCTAGATTGTTAACTACCTCGCCTGGTAAACAGAAGATCGTGGGTTCAATCCCCATCCTGACAATGCCTGTATATTTGGAGTTTGCATGGTGGCATTGATTTTTCTACGGGTCCTCCGGTTTTTCCCTTCAGATTTAGAATCAACAAGCGTTTGGATTATTTGGCTGCTATAAATATCCATATGATAATTTGTGGCCAGGTCGCTTCTGAAAAAAAGCTACATAGCTCGGTGGGCCTTACCTGGTAAGATAAAAAATAAAAATAGTTTAGTTTTAGTTTAGATACGTGCATGGTCCTAGAATTTTGCTAGTAATCGGGTACTTACCTTGGCTGTCGCGTGGGGAGAAGCCCCCTGGTCCAGCAGTAGAAGAGCCACTTTCTGATTGTCATAGTGTGAAGCCACGTGCAGTGGTGTCAGCCCATTCTGTGTTGGGTGGAAAAGACAACGAAGGACAGTGAAAATAAGGGTAGAGAGGCATAGTGTGGCTGGCATGAACTCCGGTGCAACTAGTTAAAGGGGCACCCCCTGTGTCTAATTTCCTCCCCTTTTCATAGTCCAGTACCCTGGGCCCGACCTCCTGCCCGCGAGCTCCGGTTCTGTTTCACCGCCCGCACACTCGACAGCTACTCGCTACGCCGCTGATTTTGGAGCAGAATTCAAGGCGCTTTGAGGTGCCAACAATTGATCAGATACGGAAGTACGCACTGATTCACCGATTACAATCCATTCTTACCCTCATAACGTATGCATGGAATTGTACGCGGGAGAACCAAATATTTACAACCACAGGGAGGCTAACGGGAGGCTCTCATGGATAAATGAATTACTACTTTTTTTTACGATTGCACACAGCAAACACTTAAGGGTTAACGAGTGAATTTCCGCACGCAGAATCAGGTATGATCCCACTGGAGATCTCAAATGTCTCGGAGCATCGTGACACCAACAGCTGTGCCTTCACACCGAGGCAGAAGTCCTTGGAGACACGGGATTGTAAACAGGGCAGCCATGCACATCGGCTTGGGATGTGTCTCCCGCCTCCCTTAGATATCCTCGATAAGTTATTTTCGTTTTGTATTTACAATGAATCATAATAATAATCCTAAGAGCGGTCTGGTGTTAATTGAGCAACTTGCAGTTACGTACAGTTACGAAATATATTGGTTGCAGTTACATTTTGTTGTCAAAGTTACAAATCAAGCTTGCAAACGAGGCTGCTTGGATCTGGCACCAATCTTCTGCTTCGGAATTTTTTTTTCGAGGAAGATTTACGATGCAAAGGGAGGCAAACAAGGTCGTAACGGACAACAGGAAGTTTCTCTTCCCTGCGAGACACACCGAAGGATGGGCAGGGCGCTACCTTTCCGGCAGCGTCCGGGGAAGCGAAACGCTGCAGCAGGAGGCTGGCCACCTCCATCTTGCCGTACTTGGATGCGACGTGGAGTGGTGTGAATCCCTTCTGTGGTGGAAAGAGACAGACGGCGCAGCGCGTTCAAGGAACTGGGGGGGTCACGGCGACTGCGTGCGCTCGGAGAAATCAACGAGGGTGGTGGATTCGGTGGTTTTGGGCAGGGATGGTCTGACCTTTTGGTAGAGGTAGCAAGCGAACATGGGTAAAGGTATCTGACCTTGGTTGAAGAGGCACAAAAGATTTGAAATAACCAGAGAGTACCTGATCTTGGCAATGAGTACCGGTGAAGACGTAACACCTCTGGCGACGACCAAGACAGGATCTAACCTTGGTGATGACTACTTAGAGAAATTCCAACTTTGCTGGTGACTACCAGAGGATCTGACATAGGTGGTGGCAACTACCAGCAAGAACCTGACATAGGTGGTAACCAGAGAGGACGTGACCTTGGTGGTAATGGGCACAACCCTGGTGGTGACCAGAGCAGACCTTACAATACGGTGGTGATATGTTAACTACCTCGTCTGGTATGCAAGAGGTTGTGGGTTTAAAACCCGACCCTCATGCCTGTATATTTGGAGTTTGCATGTCTCTCTTCCCGTGGTCACGTGGATTTTTCTCCGGGTTCCCCAGTTTTCCATCCACATTTAGAATCAACATCACGTATTCAGAGTATTTGGCTGCTACTAATTTCTACATGGTAGCCACTTCGTCGAGCTATCATCTGTGGCCAGGTCACTTCTGAAAGAGTTCTATAGCTCAACGGGCCTTACCTAGTAAGTAATTTTATATATAGTTTAGTTTTAGTTGACAATACCAGTGATTAACAAAGGATTTGACCTTGCGGTGATGACCCTGCGGGTGGTGAAAACCAAAACACAAACTAACTTTGCTGGCGACTACCAAGAAGCGACCCCGAACCCTGCCAATGATGAACAGCGAATACGGCGACGCCCGCAGACAGCCCGAACGTGGTGGTGGTGTTGGTGTTGGTGGCGGCGGCTGTGGTGACGAGCACGGTGCGGCGCGGTCCTCGAGCCAAGGCCTGACCTTGGTGGTGACGGCGAGCGAGGCGCCGTGCTCCAGCAGGATGGCGGTGACGTCCTCGTGACCCTCGCGTGCCGCCACGTGCAGTGGCGTGTACCCGTTGGAGGTGGCCGCGTCGGGCGAGGCCATGTGCTGCAGCAGCAGCTGCACGATCTCCAGTTTCCCCAGCCGTGCGGCGATGTGCAGCGGCGTCTGCTCCTCCTGAGCGTCGCGAAACGCGCGTCACGGATTTTTGCAATCGTTAAAAAGCGTCCGAGAGTAAATCGCTGGACGATGCCGGGCCCCCGCGAGACTTCATTTCTCCCCGTGGCCACGCGAGAAGCCTCGCAAGAATGAATTCTCTCTCGGGTCACACGCTCCGAGGAATGCCTGTCTATGCAGCCACAGCACGCGGGGAGGTGCTTGAGCCAGCCAATGTTGACCGTGCCGTGGCAGTTAATCATTTTAGGCTAAGTGAACTTCATTTTGCACGGCCCTCATATCATACGGCCCACGGCCACCTCGACACCTGCCGCTTCCAAACAGCACGTCAACAATATTGATCCACCGCTTCAAGCATCTCAGCCGCACTAATCGGGTACTAGAGGGGAATATTTTAGAGCTGGCAAAGTACGACTGCTGCGTTTATAATTTTTAGCAACCACGCTCGGTCACCTTTTCATACTGCGAAGCTATCTTTTCACGTCTTCATACTGTGCTCACTGCTCTGACAGGGCTTTATAGCCACCTGCATTTGGAAGACAGTAAATGAGCCGATCTGATTCTAAGTAACCCCTATAAGTGTAAAAACAGCAGAGGCTAAATATCGTAGAAGGGATTCGGGTGGAGTTGTGGTGGCGTTGGGGGGACAGGGGAGTGAAGGGTGGATGGGGATTTTATGTAAATCAGTGGCAATGCGGCACAGCGCAGCAATCAATGTCAATGTAAACCAATTTTAAATCACAAAATAATAAGCAAACACGGACTACCGCGTGGGCTACCTGCATCTCTAATCAAAGCAGAGGGAATTGAGCAGGGCTCTGTTTGCGTGTGTGTGTATTCATGTAATTTCAATTTTAAATATAACCCAATTTTCCTCTTCACTCTGCCAGGTTATTGATTGTGGCAGGAGGAGCAAGCCTTCCAAGCAACCATCAGCCACGGTAGCACAAGCAACCAGATGGTTCATGCAGGGCATTGTTTGTTGCTGGCTCTGTCCGGGGTCGACAACCCGGAAATAATTTTCGCACCCGGCACACCACATCCAGTTTGCGTCTCACTATGGCTGTTGCCACTCTGAACGTGCATGTGTATGTTGAAACTTATTTTGCACCCTACGTAGCCAACCGCGCCAAACAGAGGTGCGGGGGAAGGACAACAATCTAAGCACAAAAAGCCTGTCTACCAGTGACCCGGAAAATATCCATCGAGGCCTCACCACAACTGAGTGAATTCACTGTCCGTGGTCAAACGCAACACACATTCACGAATAAGAATTGGCCCAAACATCGCGATGCAGGAGGTATAACCATGGGCGGTTGATGATCCATTTTTGAATCCAGGATCTCAGCGGTGCCGACTCGGCGCTCCGATCTCTGAACCACCCTAAGCATAAACCATTACCTAAACTCCGGTCGGCAGCGGCTTTCGGCGAGCCATTGAACAAAGACGGTAACCACATCGCGCGCTTTCACATGCGCTTCTGCGGCCATCTGGAACGTTCTTCCTTCCATTATGAGGAAGCCAATGGAGCAATGCTCTTTTAAATCTAGATTGGAAACTCATTTCTTTAGCACTGCTTTTTGTGTTTAGTTTGTCGTCCTTCCCCCGCACCTCTGATTTTCACGGTTGGCTAAGTACGGTGCGAAAGAAGTTCAACATACATACCTATGTTTCTGATTGACGACTAACCGTGTCACGGCATGCCCTTACCCTGGCCTTGGCGTCCACTTGAGCGCCGTTCCGAAGGAGGCTGCGCACAACTTCCGTCTGCCCGGCGCGCGCGGCCATGTGCAGAGCAGTCTCCCCGCGCTGTGCACGCAAGCACGGCGACACGGACCAGACGCTCGTCACCGCTCGCCGCCGATCACGGGGGACGCCGCCACGTTGCAAACTCGCACACTTCCCAGGGGACATTTTCCCATGCGCATGCCGACGCTCAGCACACGCCACTTGCACTGGTCGCGAAAGTACGAGCGGTTGGGGGGGGGGGATGCACCACGGGCGATTTGAACCCTTTCCCATTCCGATGACGTTTGCCGTACGTCATCAGTTTTTCGGTATCGAGGCTCCCACAAGGCCCCTATTGGTGGCCTAGTGTCAGTGTGTCTATGGGTGATGCATGGGGGCCACAATTAGTGCCCACGCACGATGTCGAGATTGCGGACCGCTCATAAGGCCCGCCAACTCGCCTAGCTTGTCCATCACTGCGATGGGCAAGCTAGACGAGTAGCAAACTAAACTATTTTTTGTTTTCCAGGTAAGGCCCACTGAGCTGTACAGTTGTTTTTCAAAAATCACCTGGCCACAAATGGTAGCTTAACGAAGTGGCTTATCATCACATGGACATTTATAGCAGCCAAATACTACCCTAAATACGTGATGTTGTTTCTAAATTTGGAGGGGAAAACCAGAGTACCTGGAGAAAAATCTACGCGATCATGGGGAGAGAGAACATGCAAACTATAAATATACTGGCGTCGGGGTCAGGATCGAACCTACGACCTCGTTTTTACCAGGCGAGGTAGTTATGAACTCGCCACCATGGCGAAATGAGAGTGAAGGTGTCGAGAGGGAAGGCTGGACTCACCACGTTGGTGGCGTTGGGAGAGGCCCCCCCTTGCAGAAGAATCAGCACGATGTTGAGGTTTCCCATGAAGGCAGACACGTGCATGGGCGTCAGCCCAGACTGCGTGCACACACACAAAAACAAATATCCTTGAACGACTGTTTGGGCAAGGGGGTGTGTGGGCAGCACTACGCCCGACCGCCTTTGTCTCCCCAATGGCGATGTTCACACGACCCAGGGGAGGCCCAGGATTGTTTCAGATGTCACCGATGTTGGTCATGAGCAGGAATTGAACTTGGTGTCGCCGGGTTCATAGCCCAGCGCGCTAACCACTACACTTCCGCGCACACACACGTTTCCATGTACACATGCACACACGCACGTGTATTCACACACGCTGACGTGTCAGCCTACGTGCGAACTGTGTACCCCAATGGGCGCGCGATGCGACCGCCAGCTCACTTCAATGTGTGGCGTTCCCACAGAGAGGATTTCTTTAAACAAAAGGAAGGAGCAGCAATGGGCTCTCCTTTATCTCCTGCTATAGCAAATTTGTACATGGAAAACTTTGAAATAAGAGCACTTGCCTCGAGCACATTAAAACCATCTTTTTGGTTTAGATATGTGGATGACACTTTGGTTGTCTGGCCACATGGTATAGATACACTTAATGATGTTCTAAATCATCTCAATGCACAAAACCCGGCCATCCAGTTCACCATGGAAATGGAGGTGAATAACACACTCCCGTTCCTAGATAAATTGCTTGGACATGGCCTAAACGGTAAAATAACACACAGCGTTTACAGAAAGCAAACGCACACTGATGCCTATCTGAATGCATATTCGTATCATCATCCAGCTCAGAAATCCTTTCTTATCAAGATGCTCATACATCGGGCTAAAACAGTGTCAGATGGTGAAAGTCTAGTGAGAGAGATCAAACACGTTAAAGAAGCACTACGACAGAATGGCTACAATAATGCTCAAATTAACAGAGCACTGAATGCCAAATCACGATCGCAAAGCAATACTGCTGAAAGCGATCAGATTGTTAAAACAATTAAGATTCCATATATCTCAGGAGTAACTGACAAATTAGCCCATGTTTTGCAAAAGCAAAACATTACAGTAAGATTTGGTACAGTGCACAAAATTTAAAAACTAGTATCTTGCACTAAAGACGCATTACCTAAATTATCAACAGAAGGTGTATATCGGATTAATTGTTTGTGGCAAATGCTATATTGGACAGACGAGACGTAACATCAGCATAAGACTAAAAGAACACCAAAGAAATATTAAATTATCTCAAACACAACTGTCGGCAGTGGCAGAACATGCTTGTCAACAAGGACACTCAATTGATTTTGATAACGTTGAAGTGTCGTGTAAAACTAATTATTACTGGCAAAGACTAATTTGAGAATCCATTGAAATTGAGAGAAATAGAAATAACTTTAATCGCTTTGACAGCTACAGGCTTAGTGCGGCTTTGAAGCGTATTATTAAATAATACATATTACAATTCCTTATAGGGGAAACACATACTAATTAATGGATTACTAACGTAGCATATAATCACAATAACACACATTACAACTAATTACTAATCTACAACTCATTATTAATCACAACCATTGACTGATTATCAATCAATTATATAATTACAATACCCCCCCCCCGCCTCAAATCACTGCACCTGAATGACTTACACCTGAATGGCCGTGTCGGGTGGTGGAGGGTTACGACACATTTATAAATAACGCGATCTAACCCAAAAACCTTTATTATGAATAATATTGGTCGTGAAAGCCTACGTGTTAAACCGCAATGCAAACCCTTCACACACGGAGTGGATATCACAGAACTGCCTCTGACAATCCTTCAAGTGATCTCTGGTCCACACAGTGAGTGAACTCTGGGCCACACAGTGAGTGATCTCTGGTCCACACAGTGAGTGAACTCTGGGCCACACAGTGAGTGATCTCTGGTGCACACAGTGAGTGAACTCTGGGCCACACAGTGAGTGATCTCTGGTCCACACAGTGAGTGAACTCTGGTCCACACAGTGAGTGAACTCTGGTCCACACAGTGAGTGAACTCTGGGCCACACAGTGAGTGAACTCTGGTGCACACAGTGAGTGAACTCTGGGCCACACAGTGAGTGATCTCTGGTCCACACAGTGAGTGAACTCTGGGCCACACAGTGAGTGAACTCTGGTGCACACAGTGAGTGAACTCTGGGCCACACAGTGAGTGAACTCTGGTCCACACAGTGAGTGAACTCTGGTGCACACAGTGAGTGAACTCTGGGCCACACAGTGAGTGAACTCTGGGCCACACAGTGAGTGAACTCTGGGCCACACAGTGAGTGAACTATGGGCCACAAAGTGAGGGGGAGCACTTTTCCCTCTCGCTCTGCACGCGGGATTCAACGAATGCGACGAAGCAAACACAACACGGATGAAGCTCAAATCAGCACACAGAGGCATGGGTATGGGAGGTGCGGTTATGGTGATGGCAGGGTCACAGTAAATGAGGTCAGAGGTCACGGATAAGGGCTCAGGGGTCGTATTTGGGGGGGGGGGGGGGAGTAGGGGGGATGTTGGAGAGCGGCGAACCTCGGTCACGGCCTCGATGGACGCTCCGTATTTGAGCAGAAGCTCCATGACGCGAATCCGGTTCTTCTTGCAGGCGATGTGCAGCGGCGTGAAGCCGTTCTGTCCCGGGTGTGCGAGCCGGATGACAGAACCACGGGGCAGAGGGGAGAGGAGACACACAGGGAAGAGACACAAAAGGAGAGTCAATGAGAGAGGCAACGTCAGACATGATTGCACGGCTGGGGAAGAGGGGAATGACGACAGGGAGAGCGTGACGTCCGACAGATGAGATGTGCAGTTTAAGAAACACATGGGTGAAACGAAATTGGGAAGACGCAACAGTGAAGAAGGCTTGTACGCAAAGAATATCAAGCAGGATGGAAAACGGAAATGTCAAGGCAATTCGGCACGGAGGCTCACGCAGACACTCGTAATCCAGGCGTGGTCTTCCCCGTCAGGCTGTACGTTGAGCATTCCTTCTCTCAAGCTTTCGCCACGCACTACTGCGGGCACCTTCCAGGATCTCTGGAGCTGAAGATGCCGCCGCAGCCGTGCGTTGAGAAAGCCCGTGAGAATAAACACTCGACAACACGTGGCCTAACCCGGAAGACTGTACGCACACTTGGAACATCAAGTCCATCAAGAACAAATGGTAAACAAAGCCCAGCACGCAACACATCTTAGAGCAGTGCTTCCCAACCGTTTTCTCACACTCTCGAAGCTCGCTCCATCTTCGCGAAACACGGTTTGCCCAACTGCGCGTGCCCGACCGAGGGAGTTGAGGAGGGCCGAGGGGGGTGGGGGGCCGACGGCTGTCTTGCTGCTACCACACTGCGCCGCGACCAATGGAGAGGGGAGGGCGGGAGGAGGTTGGGGGAGGGGGGTGCTGGATTGGCCACTAAACGGCTAAACAGGAGGAGTAGGAGAGTTCGTCTGTCCCAGCTTGCAAAACGAGGTTCTTTCCTTTTCCTATTATTCTGACAATACCGCCACAGCACAGCCGCTGGGACTCTCACCGCGCGTCGCCGACGTGCTGCAGCACGACCGTTGTGAAGCATTGCTGTGTGGAGGACGGGATGGACCGACACGGTGGTGTAAAAGCGGCGCGCTTCTCAAACTCCAGGCGTTCTGACCGCCGGGCGTGCGGATTTCCGTAATTACCGCCAGTCCGGTACGCACGTCGGTGGCGTGACCCACGTAAGCACGGCGATGGCATGGCCCACGTACGCATGGCGATGGCGTGACCTGCGTATGCACGGCAGCGTGACCCGCGTACGCACGGCGGTGGCGTGACCCACATATACACAGCGGCGAGAATTCGTAGGAAAAAAAATTATGGGAAGGCGTTGCCACTGGAGGTAGTCGCGAGTTCTGGAGTTTGAGAAACTGTGGCCGACATGAAGACGCAACGCAAACATAAATGATCGGCTCTTATTTTGCAGAACCGTACCCTGGATTGTTTTCCAGGCTGTGTGACTTCAGTGTGAAGGTTCATTCGTGCAAAACAACTTTAAAAGTTCAGGTCACCCACTCCATTGTAGCTCTCTCGTGATGTGCCTGTTTTCACAGTTTATATAAAGCTAAATTGTAAGCGCAGAAAGTAGGGTACGCGAGTACATAAGACTGTAGCATCTGGAGGGGTTTTGTGGGAAGAGCTTTCGACTTGTGGTCCAAAACTGTGACAAACGGAGGCACTGGGGTGCCCATTGTGTTTATTAGCACGGGACAGCCCAAGTACTGAGTTCTAAGTTACATTGTAGTGACACCACTGAAGTGCAATAATTTCGACACTTAAAGAATGCCCTTCATCATATCGTCCTCTATTTATCTAAGTTGAGCCATGCTGAGTTTCAAGACTTTTTTGTTCAAGAGGGTCTTGCATCGAGATGTACAGATGTCAGGAGAAAACACGAGTAATTGGAAACAACTCGCACATACAAGGAGGTAATACTCAAAAGCTCCTTATAGATGGATACAAGAATGCTTTACTGCACTGCCGCTTCCTGGCCACTCCGCGGCCCAAGCCTGCATCGCCTGCTGGGTCCCAGGCCGACACCCACGGAAGAACTAACCACGCTCGAAGCCTGCTTAGCTTCTGAGATCTGACAAGGCCGGTGCTGCATTGAGGTTGAGTTGGCCGACGGCGGTCTACAGAATAAGAGCAATTCATTTCCTATTGGTTGCATCTTCCTGCAATGTGGGGAACACGGACAGGAGCACGATAGTGAAAACACAACTCGTGCACACGGGAGGTACGGTGAGACACACACGCGCGTATGCGCGCACGCATGCACGTGCGTGTGGGTAAAGAGCAATCGAGTGTGCAGGTGGTGTAACTGCACCGGAACCCCATGGCCTTGAGGGGCCCGGGTGCCAGGCTACAAAGAGGGGGGAGGGGGGGAGGGGTGGAGAGATGTGGGAGAATCGGACAGAGTGGAGGCCTCCCACGTTTCATTCCTTGCGCCACCGGTGCGTGCACGCGTGTGTGTGTGCGCGTGTGTGTGTGCGTGCGTGCGACACGAGAATCTGACGTACCAGCGCTCGCACGTTGGGGTTGGCGCCCTTGTCCAGGAGCACCTTGGCGGTGCGGTAGTGGCCGCAGTGCGCCGCCACGTGCAACGCCGTCAGGTAGTCCAGGGTGATGTCGTCGACGGGTGCGCGGTACTGCATGAGGACCTGCACGCACTCCACGTGGTCGCCCTGCGTCGCCATGTGCAGCGGGGAGAGCCCGTTCTGTGGGGGGGGGGGGGGGGGGGGCGCACACACACGGAGGCAGGGGTCACCCGTGTAGCCGTGCACACAGTTGGTAGCGAGAGCTGTGTGCGAGCGCACTATTCACCCTTTTTCCCTTCCCAGACGTCTGCAATTTGCAGGGTGGGTGTCCCGTTCGCCTCTGAATCTTGGAACACGCAAGCGGCTGAGGGTTTATTTTACTTAGAAAGGCGTAGTAGCGCCATTGTTTTTTCAAGATATTATACTCACCGCAGAATATAGCGACACAACCGCACTCTATAACAGCGAAACAGGAATCGAACTCGGGTCACCAGGTTTATACTGCAGTGCGCTAACCGCTGCACTACTGCTTCTTTAGGACGCGCACATACGCGTACACACACAAAGATCCTCCAGGTAGCCATGAATATTGTTGGTGGCAAGGGCTGTTAGCGAGAGCACCATAAATCATCAATCATGAGTCTGCTGCTTCAAAAAAATGAAGTCTGGAATCAATATGCTTTGTTCGCTGAACAAACAGCTTACAGCAGAGGCATGTAATGATGCATCAATTGGGTGACTATAATCTATTCTTACGTTCCCACTACATGCATGAAACGATGCGTGTACAGTAATAATAAATTATTTATGGTGTATGAAAATTACATGCAAAGGATTAGCACAGTTTACGATTAGGGATCATGTAGTGAACAAAACTGTATGTGAAACAATATGAACGGAACCGAAAAAGATTTTTCAAAAATGTTTATCAAATCTGAACCCCCTTATTGTGACAATTCATCAAATCATTGGGGGAAGTGCATCGTTACACAACACAAGGCTGACAGTAGAACGTGAAAGCCAGAAGTGAGTGTGCAGCACAGGAACAAACGTCGGGATTCAAATGCAGCCAAGTGTTCAGTGGCTTTGCTGCTGGGAAAAGGTGAAGGTGCAGGTCTGCATTTTCTTGCTCACGGCACTGCCGGTGGAAAGGCAGCCACTCGAGAGAGAGAGAGAGTATTTGGCCTACTCTTCTACACTGGCCCTACCACCTTAGAAGAGGTGGGTGAAGCACACACTTTAACCCACCCCACGTGACCGACCGATCGCCTAACCGCTGGTTGGGCAGGGGGTTTTGAATCGAAGCGGCGTGACCTCCGCGAGATGTCGTAAACTCTCTTACCTTGGTCTTGGCGAGTATCGGGGCGCCCTGCTCCAGAAGAATCTCCACCACCTGCTCGTGGCCGCTCCGGGCCGCGCAATGCAGCGGGGTCAGTCCGTCCTGACGGTGTGCGTAGAGGTGGGGGGGGGTGGAGTGTATAGAACATGAGTCCCCAAGGGTGAAGTCCCAAGTGATTTGCTGCTGAAATGAAACTGAACTGTTTTTTTTTATTTTCGCAGATAAAGCCCACTGAGCTATCTAGCTCTTTTTCAGAAGCGAACTGGCCACAAATGGTAGCTCAACGAAGTGGCTTATCGTTTTGTGGAAATTTACAGCAGTCAAATCGTCTAAACGCATGTTTATAAATGCGGAAGGGAAAAACCGGAGGACCCGGAGAAAAATCCATGCAACCACGTTGAGAGAGACGCGCAAACGCCAAATATACAGGCGTCAGGCTCGGGACCGAACCCATGACCTCCTGCACACCAGGCAAGGGAGATAACATATCGTTACCGCTGCGCTCTCCAGCTCTGAGCCGGTGGAGGAAATTCCACATTCCTATGGCAGGGGTGAGTCTTTATGTAAGACAACCACTTTTGACTTCACGCAAAACGTCGGAGTTGTTTCAATCCACCCAAGTGGGATGATGGGCTGAGTCAACCCTCGACCAGGATTTGAACTTCCAAACTTCGAACTGTGAGCCGCTCACTCTACCACTCAGCCACCTGGTGGCCAAGCAAAGGTGCATCGATATTATGATTATTTTTGCCTTGATCACTCATCAAAGCATCCCTGACAACTGGTACCATCATTTATATAGAAAGGAGATTCAAAGAAACATTGGGGGATTGCGTTGGCTTTGGCGCAAAAATGTACTGGAAAAAGAATGAAATCACTCTCATGTTGCAAAATTTACCCGACATGTTCACGTACTTTATATCCGTGAGAATAAGTTGAGCCATAGGCGAAGGTTATCATTGTTCACAGGCGAAGGCTGCGATTTTGTCAGGGAGGTCATCACTGGTCATGGCCATTGCAAATTAGAATGAAGTCCAAAGTAAAATCTTGGACGTGGCTGGGGAAACAAACTCCATGGGGCTCTCCCTTTGGTTCCTTTCAACAATGCGGTACACTTGGGGGGTTTGGCGGCAGTGGGGTTAGGATCCATGTTGGGGCTACCCCCACCCAACTCTGTGACCTTTCTGATGATAATTATCTGAATTATAGTTTATTTCCTGCACCTCGACCACATCCAGCTTATAGCCATAGTCATGGCCCATGCCAGAGGCTTTTGTTGTATGTATGTTGTGAACTTCTGTCGCACCATACGTAGCCAACCGTGCTAATTAGAGGTGCAGGAGAAGGACAACAAACTGAAGACAAAAAGTCGTTTGAAAAAACACTAGTTTTCAATTGAGATTAAAAAGTCCAGTGGCTTCCGAGTATCTGAAGTAAGAGCGTTCCAAACGGCCGCAGAGGTGCATCTGAAAGTGCGCAATGCGGTGACTGTCTTTGTCACGATAGTTGGCCAAAAGCCGCTGCTGCGAGGATGACCGGAGTTCACGTGACGGTTCATGCTCATTGCCACGAGATCGGCGAGGTACTGTGGTTCATTTGTGGAAAGCCCTTTGGGTGTAATGAGTGGTTGTGTTTGTTGGTGGTGGGGGGGGTAGCGTGACTCTCACCCGGGTCTTGCCGTCGATGTTCGCTCCATGCTCGAGAAGCAGGCGAACCACGTTCCCGTTGCCTCTCTTGGACGACACATGCAGAGGGGTGATTCCGTTCTGCATGGTCACGCACACACGATCACGCACGCACGGTCACACACGGTCACGCACGGTCACGCACGCACAAGCGACGCGAGCGCCTTCCAAAGGCAACCGCTATCTCACCGCTCCACCTCCTCCAAAGCGATGACATCCGTGCGAAACGCACACGAAGCCAAGGTCGATCCCTATGTCAACACAGCCACACTGACAGTGTGCAGGCCAGGTATCAAGATGATTGACATCGTCATCAATCATCATTACCACCGCCATCAGCATCACCACCACCGTCACCATCATCCTCCTGTCTCCATAAACTGCTGAGTTAAAATTCATCATCCTCAATCAATAAAGGAATTACTGTCATTGTCATCTCTGCTGATGATTCCTTCATGGTGAAGGAATTACCACGGTTGGCTACGTGCGGTACGGAAAAAGTTTAACATGCATACAACCTGACTCAGTGATGACATCACCTTTACTCTGTTTTAGACCAAAACAGGGAGACTTCTTCACAATGCTGGCTATTGCGTGAAGCTGGTTGTAATCACCAGCTAAATGTCTTACTCAAATTGTAAATGACGTGGGTTTACTCTCCAACACACCGGTGTGCTGAAGTAGTAACTACCACGTTTTGTTGACATGACGAACCTTACTAGTCGGCTTTGTCGGGTGGCGGCGGGTTAACAATACATTTATATTTACGCGATCTAACCCAAAAAACATTTATCATGAATAACATCGGTCGAGAAAGCCTACATGTTAAACATACATCCATGACAAGGGCCTTTATCCAGCAAGTGAAACATCAATGACTCTTGAAGCTGATAACAAGAACGAAATCATCATCATCAACAACAGCAACACGGAGAACTAATTTCAAATGCAGTCGGCCAAACATCCCGACGCAGGATCCTGTTGACGAGAAGCCCCCCCCCCCCCGCCCCACCCCACCCCGAGACCGAGCAGCTCACGTTGGCCGCGAAGTTGACGGCGGCTCCGCGGTTCAGCAGCAGCGTGGCCACGTTGATGTTCCCGTAGTGGGCGGCGATGTGAAGGGGCGTGAATCCGCTCTGGAACAAGTTCGGGCGCACACGCGTGGATCGCCCGTCATCCTCTGGGCAAGAGCGTCCCCACTGCTACACTGCTACACTCCTCGGGCGGCTGCGCCGGTGCCAGGGACTTGCCCGCTTTGCTAAACATTGCTCCCTTTGGCGAAGAAAACACGTCAGCAACTTTGGTGTGAAGGCGGTGGCGTTGGTGGTGATGGTGTCTGGTTTTCGAGTCCGTCTGTACGTATTTGCCTTTCTGTGTCTCTATTTGTTTCTGTATGTGTGGATATTTCGGGGTTTTTAAAAAAAAATACTTTGACAAGAGCTGGGTACAAGCTTAAGGCACAGAAATGTCGTGGAGCGGAGCCCGAACTCGGGGATCCTGGGTTCTGGGCACGGGCGAGGATTGCGCCCACGTGTGTGGATATTTCTACATTTCTCTCTCCCTCTCTCTCAGTCACTAGGTTTCCATTAAAAAGATACATAATTCAGCCTATATTTGAATATAAACATTGGTTGTACACAATTTGAATGTTGTTTAAAGTATTTTTGATTAAAAAAATAAACATTCCAGGTATATTGATGCGTGAGATTGATTGTATATGCGTTTTATTTACATGTTATCGTTTTGTAATAAGTACAGTTCGCAGCGATAATCCATTACACCAAATCACAACCCTAGAAATCACAAAATGCTGAAAAATATTAATTGCAGAACTAATCGAGCAAGGCGTTTCATTTTTTATGGAGCTCAAAGCCGTAACTAATCATGCGCGAGCTCACTCATGTGCCAGACGAACGTGCGTGCATGTCTTCATTAGCCATAGCCTCTAAACGGGTCATTCGATCTGCTAAGTCATATTCATTCGTACAATGTTTAACATTGATGGTGTGTGGTGAGTGGGTGGGGTGGTAGGATGGTAGGTGAGAAGGTAGGTAGGCAATTTGGTGAGTAGGTATGTGGATGGGTGAGTCGGAAGGTAGCTGATATGGTGAAGAGATATATAAACGGGTGAGTGAGTAGGTGCTTAGGTAGGTGAGCAGGAATGTGGATGAGTAAAAAGGTAGGCGATTTGGTGGACAGGCATGTGGGTGGGTCAGTGGGTAGGTAGGTTAAATGGTGAACAGGCATGTGGGTGGGTCAATGGGTAGGTAGGTGATTTGGTGAACAGGCATGTGGGTGGGTCAGTAGGTAGTTAAGTGATTTGGTGAACAGGCATGTGGGTGGGTCAGTGGGTAGGTAGGTGATTTGGTGAACAGACATGTGGGTGGGTCAGTGGGTAGGTAGGCGATTTGGTGAACAGGCATGTGGGTGGGTCAGTGGGTAGGTAGGTGATTTGGTGAACAGGCATGTTGGTGGGTCAGTGGGTAGGTAGGTGATTTGGTGAACAGGCATGTGGGTGGGTCAGTGGGTAGGTAGGCGATTTGGTGAACAGGCATGTGGGTGGGTCAGTGGGTAGGTAGGTGATTTGGTTAGCAGGTATGTGGATAGGTGAGTGGGTAAGTAATTTGTTTGGTAAGTAGGTATGTGGGTAGGTAGGTATGTGGGTGAGTAGTAATGTAGATGGGTAGGTAGGTATGGAGGTGGGTAGGTAATTGGATGGGTAGGTATGTATGTGGGTGAGTAGGAAGATGGGTGCTTTGGTTGTGGGTGGGTAGGTATGTAGGTAGGTAAATGGGTTAGTAGGTAAGTACATGAGTAGATAGGTGGGTGAGTAGTTTCGTGGTAAGTAGGTACGTAGAGGTAGGTAGGTGGGTGTTTGAGTAGGTAGAAGGGTGGGTGGGTATGTAGGTATGTAGAAGTAGGTAGGTGTTTGAGTAGGTAGAAGGATGGGTGGGTATGTAGGTATGTAGAGGTAGGTAGGTGTTTGAGTAGGTAGAAGGGTGGGTGGGTATGTAGGTATGCAGAGGTACGTAGGTGTTTGAGTAGGTAGAATGGTGGGTGGGTATGTAGGTAGGTAAATGGGTTAGTAGGTAGGTACATGAGTAGATAAGTGGGTGAGTAGTTTCGTGGGTATGTAGGTACGTAGAGGTAGGTAGGTGGGTGTTTGAGTAGGTAGAAGGGTGGGTATGTAGGTATGTAGAGGTAGGTAGGTAGGTGTTTGAGTAGGTAGTAGGGTGGGTGGGTATGTAGGTAGTTGGCTAATGAAAAGAGGGGAAAAATAAAAAATACAACACTGCTAAACTTAAATAAAATAAACACTATAATCTAATTCAGATAACACGCTTCAACAATCATTCTTAAGATCGTACAACAATGGTTCATCAGCAAAAGCAATATTAATGTTGCTTAATGCAGTTGGCGCATCACTGCCAAACAGCTGATATTCGCAGTCAGCAAAAATAAATAAAGAACATTTCCCTGTCGCAATGGAATAAGACGCATGTAGGATTAAACAAAGCGTTCCCGTACGTTTGCACAAAGGTCTAACGAAACTTTGCAGTCACGCGGTGCACTGGCGGCGCAGAGCGTGCGGGCGGCGTCACGATACAAACGGGGAAACCAGCTACGTTTCACGAGAAACGCCAAAGCGCGAAACGTTACCTCCGTAGTTCTGTTCACCATCATCTGGGGGTTTGCGTTGCCAAAAAAATTCAAGACAGAAAACATAACAGTCTTTATCCTTTTTCAAAAACAAAATCATTGCAATGCATTTTGCACATTTATATATCATGATTGTACATATCGGGTCAAACACGCAAAAGCCGTTGCGGGCATCAAAAATAGGTTCCTGCACAACAGTGCATTGCATTATTTAGAATCTCCGTAAAGTGCATCACCAGGCACTAGATCCTCCGTAATCCATGAAATTCCAAGCAAGCATAGCGTGCGAGCGTGCGTACACTCATTAAGGCAATGTGACGCGGCTGTCAGGTCGCAGCCAGTTTCAAATAACTAAGAAATAATCTCGAATATTTTTAACGCTGCGATTGCTCGTGCCTCGAGCGGTTAAATGCGCCACAGCGCACGTGTACATCGGCGACGAGGTGGCACGGACAGAAAGAAGGTCAGCACGGCACACGATGGGTGGTGGGGTGGCCAACACCACGTCTGGCCGCCTTTGTCTCCCCACTGCCTGACGTTTACACACTGCACCAGCTCGGTACTCATTTAAGGAGAGGCCCAGGACAGGTTAAAATATTTGCCACTGTTATTCGTCGTGAGCGGACCAATCAAACTCGGGTCGCAGGCTCGTAGCGGAGTCCGCTAAACCCTTTCACTACCGCTCCCGATAAAACATGGTCAAACAGACACACGAGACAAAGATCCCCCATATAGCGTTAACATATAATTAGGGAGTGGTTGGCCCACACCACGCCCGAAAACCTGTCTCTCCCCATTGCCGATGTTTACTACACACACGCACATCAGGTACTCATTTGAGGTTGAGTCGACCTACCGCTCCCCAAAGATCCCCCGTATAGCCTTTACAGATTGTAGGTAGCGAGCACCTATGAAGGCTGGTACGGCACCCAGACGCCTTTTTCTCCCCAGTGACGATGTTTACTACACACCACATCAGGTACTTAATTGAGTCCGAGTCGACCTACCGCTCCCCACATGCGCACACACACGCGTACACACACACACGTACACACACACACGCGTACACACACACACGCGTACACACACACACGCGTACACACACACACACGTGTACACACACACACACACGCGTACACGCACACATGCAGGCAGTGTGGGTGGCACCTTGGACTGCACGTCTGCGTTGTGGTCGTTGTGCAGCAGCAGCGCGGCCGCCTTGGTGTCATCCTTGCGCGCGGCAATGTGCAGTGCCGGCAGCCGAACCTTGCCCTTGGTGTCATTCTCGAGCAGCACGGCCACCACCTGGTCGTGGCCCTGCTGCAGCGCCACGGCCAACGGCGTGAAGCCATCCTGCACCGCGCGAATCCCATGACCGTCATCATCCTTCTGGAGACGTTAACTCTCTCAAGTGCGCAACAAACTTCCCAGCCATTGTTTATTCGCCGAGGCAAGACTTAATTCGCACCGCAATTAAAGATAACGCGTACACATTTTCTGTGAAATTTGCCTCGCAAAGAATTTCAAGGAAATTCTGATTTGCATGGAAATTGACTGCGGTGGGTGGGGGGGGGGGAGCACACTATCAATACGGAACACGCTGCTTGCTGTATTCGAGCTGCGGCAATTTCACTAACCGCGCACCCACAGCCTCCATGATAAATCAGCGCCAGCACGACCGGCAGCAGCAGCAGCAGCAGTCGCGACATCATTCGGTCCGGCAACGTCACCCAAGTCAATGCCAAGTTTGTGCTTTTTAAAAATTCTTTCTATTCTTGCACATGATGGCGATATGTTCATGAGCGAAATGCCACTGTCGCGGTCTCCTGGCCAAGACGAGAGGGCTTCAGGAGAGAGAGAGAGTTCGTGTCGTTGTTCTGCCCCCCTCCTCGTCCGTTGAAGGAGCGCAGACGACGGGGGTTTACGATACGGTCCAACCGTGTGGGGTTGCATGGCCACAGTCACACTCCTGTGGCTTGTCTTTGCTTTATCCTCCATGTGTCTCTGTATTTATCTCTATGAATCTCTATGGCTCTCGATGATTATACAAGTCTGCGTCTCTGTGTGTTTAGTATGTGGTCCACGGTTTGCGTTGCATGGTCACATTTGCACTACTTGGGTTTGTCTATAATGTACCATTCATTATAATCACAGTGTTTGAACACAGATCCCGCCGGCCTCTTAATGCAAAGTAGCCAGCAGCTTTGAGTAGCAACCACAGTTCAGCAGATAGCAACCAATATTAATTGCAGGTTCAGTTGGGGACGAGGGGGGGGAAGGAATCAGGGGTAGGGGGAATTGGGGGGGCCATTGGGAATTTTGTTCATGGTCTAAAAATCTCTGGAGTGGCCTCTTGAAAAACACATTACAGTTTGTTTCATCTAGAAACGTTGGAAATATTTATTCACGTGTTAGTTTATTTAAATATGAACAAATAAAGGATGCTACCCTTAATCTGATTTTTTCATTGGGTTGTTTTCATTTCGCCCTCCAGTTTTTTTCCCCACTTGACGGAGATTAATCCTCCCGAGTCGTGACAAACCGAATGGGCAGTGGGGAGGGGGAGAGGAGCCGGGGTGGGGTGGGGGCAGGAGCCGGGGTGGGGTGAGGGGGTCAATTCTGCTCTGGCTTCCCAGGGGCAAAGATACCTAAATCTGGCCCTGGTTTCTTGAAATGAACAAGGTTATCGGAGCTTGGGGAAGAGAGATGATAAAATTATCAAATGAGAGTTGCAAAGTTGAGCAGTTTGGGGAAAGGAGGAATAGAATCGTTGAGTTCTACGCAGCTGAACACTCTGTGGGCGAGCGAGTTAATCCAGTACGAGACCCAGACAAGGGTAGAGATGTCACGGCATTGCAACGTCTGGGCTATTAGCAGTAAAAGAGAGACAAATGAATGGGTGCATACCAGGCACAAAAATTGCTGTCACAGGACTGCGCGAGCTACCAAAGTGGGCAGCTGAGGGTAGTGGAGCAAAATCAATGGTTGTACTGTATTTCTATGCACCCGGGGCTATGCTCCCTGCCTTCCCCAGCATTGGTGATGTATGGTCAAATATACCTCCATGACCCGTAGGGGGTGGGAAGCCCTCAGCCAGCAGTGTTGACAACAGAGATGTACGTGTACCTGTGCAAGCAAATTAAGTGGAAGTCCACTTGGTAGGTGGTCTTACCTCCTCGGTTGACATCTCACCTTGTGCTCAATATTTCACCTCATTCACGGTCTGATCCACGCCTTACCCAATCAATGTCACACGTGGTCAATGACTCACGTGGGTGATTCTTCACCTGGTCTGCGCCTGAATTGATGAGGTCTCTCTCCCCTGGTGAACATATTATCTACTCAGATCTTCACCCGGTTGGCATCTCATCTGGTTGACAATGGCCACATTCATGGTGAATTGGCCCTACGTGTGAATCACCATCATCCATGCAGCCATCATCTATCACCATCATCCACCACCTCCGATGAGCACGGTTGGCTATGTACGGTGCTTATGAAGTTCAACATACATCCAGCCCCCAGTGCCAAATCGAACGTGTCTCACCTCGGTGGCGATGCCCTGGTTGGCTGTGTTCTCCAGCAGATATTTGACGACGTCCAAGTGATTCTCCTGCGCCGCCATGTACAGCGGAGTGAAACCATTCTGTAAGTGCACGCACATCGCGTACACACACGCGCCACACACAAACACGCACGTGTGGACACATTAAGTAAGACACAAGTCAAACTGTCTCCAGGTTTAAACAGGGCGTTTGGTTAGTTCTCATTTCTATTTGCAGCCCTACACCATCATTTTTTTTCACAGCCATGATTCATTCACTGTGGGATGAAGGCCTCCATAAACTGCCACCATCCCTCATGGTTCTGTGATGCACTCATCCCCCCAGCTGCTGCACACGAGCTCATATCGTCGCTCCATGTCGGCGGTAATAGTCATGCTGTCCCAATGGACTCTCCCGAGGTAAAAGACATTCCACAGATATAACTACGGCCTACAGATAGTCAATCTTATATTTTTAGCTAGGTACACACACACCTCGATAGTGATACACATCGACACACTCTTACTCATCGTGTTGTTGGATCTTTATTATTTTTATTCCATTTCTGTCCACACCGTGCAGTGCACCACCTCATCTCATATAAGATGGCATCACAGCTGCTCCTTCGATTGCCTCCTACCCACACTATATGCTGCTTCTTTGTAAAGCTGGAAATTTCAAAATCATCAGGCTGTATTATAATAAAAAAAAGTTTTGCTGGCTGGCTGGATAGCTGGAGGGAGGGCTGCTAGTTAAGTGAAACTTTTTTTAATGAAATTATTGATAGTTTGGCTGAGACCATTAACTCTCGAAAACCCAATTTAATGAAAGTTGCTTGCCGAGTGTAGGATGTCAGTGTTGTTAGCTCAGTGCTTACACAGGGCATTATCTCCCTGAGCCACCTGGCCATTTCGATGTCACAGATTTTTTAACAACTCTGATGCTGATAGCAAAACCCAAATTAACTCTTCGTGAAGATTACTGGTGAAGTTACACTGCCCTTTATTAATCCACTGGATTAATGCCTCCCCACTCCGTGTCAGTCATGAGGGTTGTTTGACCATACTTCACCATATTTTGTTGGTGCGGGTAGGTGAAGGGCGGGCGGCCAAGATCGGGTTAGTTATCACTCGCAAGCGATATTAGCCAGAGAGCCGAGAATCCAAGTCAGGGTGCCGGGTTCATAGCGGAGTTGGCCTCACCAGTGAGGATAAAACACGGAGGCACAGTCAAGCAACTCGGCCGAGGGTACTGCATCACGTAAATATACACAGCAATACCTTCGGTGTACGTCGGGGATGCGTTCCTGAAAGGTGCGACGAATATTGAAACGGCGTCAATAAAAGCGATTTACAGGGTGGGTCGAGGCGAAGGCTATTCTTACATACCCAGGAAATAAAACAAACAAAAAATCACAAAACCACGACCCCACCGGCTCATCAGCAACACCTGATGGTGATGATGATGAGCACCGCCCACGGCGGTAGTTGCCCTCGTCGGTCCGTCTTTGCGAATCGAAATGGGCCGCAAATCGCGCTCCTGATATGGGGCATGAGCCACGAGCTATTTTAAAACATTGCCCCCCTCGACCCCCGGCGTCCTCATTACCAGGCCTCGCGCTCACATCATTCGGGACACGGGGACTGTGAGACAACGACAAGTAGGGTGGGGGGAAATCGGAAATCGATGGATGAGGCCGGGGGTTTGGAAGGCGATTATCTAAAAACAGCACCGTGGGGCCGGCCGGTAAACGCCCGGGGCAAACTGGCACGTCGCCTACATCATGATCATGTTCGTTATTGTGTTTCCACACCGCCGTCACCACTGCCCTATTTTATTATCGTTTAATGTGCTGTCAAATATACAGGGGCGTGTTGTGTGCACGTTTGTGCCCTTGTCCGTTTGCCTTGGTGCATGTGGATACGCTTGTGTGTAAATGTGTGCCTTAATAGATTCTCACCAACAACAGTTTAAGGTCATATTGGAGGATATTTGTCTTTCATTTTTAAATGTCGGCGTGCATGAATACATGGGTGTTATGGGAAATGGTGTAATAGTAGTTAACGCATAATGCTTCGAACTTCACTTCCAAAGTTCGAGCCCTGGCTGGGGCAAACATCGGTGGTAAATATCTGAACTGGTTCTGGGCATTCCCTAGGTCAACTCAGCCTTAAACGAGTACCTGGTGTGGTGTGTAAACATCAGCACTCGGGAGACAAAGGCAGCTGGGCATGTTTACTGGCCATACCACCCTTTATTGCACCGCCCTGGCCTTAATAGGTCCTCGCTAACAGCACTTTCCCCAACAGTCTGTTTTGCTATATGGAGAATCTTTACCTTTGTGTATGAGTCTGCGATCTCTGTCTATATGCTGGCCACTAATCCCCTCGTGTGCCATGCTGGCCTTCAAAGGTACTCGCTAACAGCACTTGCCCTCAGTCTGTTAAGGCTATAAGGGGGATCTTTGTCTGTCTATATATGTGCACTTGGGATGATTCTCTCAACGATCATCTCAGCCTAGAGCGTACCTTTCGGAGTATGAAAGTATGGAATGTGCTTTTATGAATGCAGACCATTTTCCCGTGTCAGTGAAATGTGTTCGACGTCACTTCAATCGGCCAATCAAATCATAGACGAGCCTACGGTTAGAAGCTGGGCTCTCCAATTATTTACGTAATTGATTAACACACTGGTTATCAGCAAATCGGAACAGCACGAAAATCGTTTGGAGGGATAAAGTGTCGCGTCACCACACGTGGCCACTGGCTGGGAGCAAATGGCTTGGTGATGTCAGTGGCGTCATCCACACACGTCACGCTGGGCATTGTGAGGGCTTCCCTGCTTCTCATGGTGAGGGCACTGTCGATTTTTTTAAAGAGCCGGAGTAATCAACCACAAAAATTGCAACAACAGAAAAACGTCAACTGAAACTATAAAAACGAAACTATTTTTATTTTACCAGATAAGGCCCACTGAGCTGTATAGCTCTCTTTCAGAAGCGACCTGGCCACATCAAAAATGATAGCTCAACGGAGTGGCTTACCATGTGGAAATGTATAGCAGCCAAATACTCTAAACGTGTGATGTTGATTCTAAATGTGGAGGGAAAAACCGGAGGACCCGGATAAAAATCCACACGACCACGAGGAGGTAAGAGGCAAACTCCAAGGGTTAAGGATCAACACATTGGTCAATAATGCTGTGGCCTTAAACGAAAAATAGATATTATAGGCGATGTGTTGAGCATTGGGCCCTTCTTTATGGCACATCGAGGCCTGCTGAGGATTGATCATTAGAGTTGGAGACTGAACTTATATTGTTTGAAATGTTTCCCGATGAACAGTTTTTTTTCGGAATATGAATGTCTGCATTTCTAGCTCACGAGCAACGGGCATAAATAGTTGACTATACAGTTGAGACAATTGATCGACTATTCCAATGATCGTCCCATCTGTAAATGACAACACAATGTATATGTATATGCATGTGTGTTTGTTGAACTTCTGTCGCACCGTACATAAGCCAACCGTGCAAATCGGAGGTACCTTGCTGCATATAAATAATGTTCATTATATTTCGATTTAAAGCTTTCGTGACTGCAAGGATTCATCTTCTTTGGTTCTTTCGGTAAAGTCACGTAGAATGAGAATAAAATAATAAAATAAAACAATACAATTCTCACGACGTTTCGGCCACAACACAAGCTGCCTTCTTCAGGTGAAGGAACAATTCCCGACAGTTTTTTGAAAGAACCAAAGAAGATGAATTTTCATTATTTTAAAAGGTTAGGCCTCAGTAACGACTTTCCATTACACAACGGATGTTTTTTTTTTGCCCATGAATTATCGACCAGACTGCTACCACCAACTCATTAGTTTAATGGTTTAATAACCGGCGGCGAGAAAAATTAAAACCCCAGAACTCAGCGGTGCTGGCTTCTCAGGGCTCGAACGCGGCCATTACGAACCACGAGCATTTGGCCAGCATGCACTCTTGCCATGTACGTACAAGTCGTTTCGTCAATCCACTGCTGGATAAAAACGCATGTACATGTTGAACTGATTTTGCACCGTACATAACCAACCGTGCTAATCGGAGGTGCGGGGGAAGGACGACAAACTACACACACTAAAACTGTTCTAAAGAAATTCGTTTCCAATCTAGATGCGGGTTGTGGAACTTACTTCACCATACTGGTTTGTGAAAGCGGGGGGTCCATAGACTCGGTATCACAGACGCACCGTACAATATGTTCTGCTCTACTCCCCTCCCAACAATAGTTCGTGATAGTCACCCATCCAAGCACTATCCAGGCTCAATCCCCGCTTTAGGCTACCAAAATCTAATAGGATCTGGACGCGCACTCGCGTTACGTTACAGCCGTGTCGCACAGATACACACACGCTCCCTGGCGCGCACGACCGTAAATCCAATCCTCACACGAAGGAGCTGATTCCTTCCAGGGGAACGCCAGACGGGGGAGGGTGGGGTCTTCCTCTTGACAAATTTACTGCGTCATTTTCTCATGAGCCAGCCCTACCTTGGCAAGCCAATTGGAATTTCGACTGGGTGGGAAAAAATAAAAAATGAACCTCACAACCAACTACAAGTCATACTGTGTCAGCCGATCATAAATATTGAAATGTGGTGAGATACGACGGTCTGTGACTCCGCCGGCAAGTCGCACTTAAGTTTAAATTTCGGAGGATGGCGGCGTGGCGTTCAAGGGTTAAATAAATTTCCTGTCCCGGATTCGGCATGAGGCCAGCCCCGGCACATGCCTCTCCCATCCCTCTCCCACCTCCACCTCCCACCTTATCCCCACACCGGGAGCGCTCCCGACTGACACAAAGGAGAATGTTAATCTCCTGGAATGGATAGGAGATGACGCTAAGGTATTTCGGACGACTTGCTCGTGCAACCTGGCACCCGCCCAGAAGCTCCGATATCGTGTCGTCCCTTATGCCATGACGGATACCAAGCTACAAAAATAATAAAAGGTAATTGCAAAGGGGGAGCACGAGAAGACGTGGGCTGTACCCACACTCTACCGCACCACGTTGCGGCCTGCTGATTGACTAACTGCGGTTAAATGTTTTTA